CTCTCACCATTTGCCAAGAGCCTCTCCAAACATCCATGTTCCTAAAATACTTCAATTTAAGAACCTACCTGCACACCCCCCAAAAGACTATTCTGATGTAACATAAGTCTCTTAAATTATATTCTCTTCAACATATATAATGGTTATTCCCCCAATTAACCTTATATAGCCACTCTCAATTTTCCTGGCTCCTCTCAAAAACTCAAACAGACTCCAGATAAGTACTGCCAACCAACATCCTAATTTAAGTTCGCCTGCCTTTTGCCTATTCCTAAGGTTGGGATCTCTCCCCGCTTTCCTGGGATTTTCCCTCATTTCTTTGGTTCTCCCCATTCTCCCTGGTCTTGGGACTCATCTTCCCAACTTCAGGACCATGAACCTAAAAGTTTCAAATGTACATCAAAGAAATTTTTTTGGTCTAAACTCCTTAACTTCACCTTTCTTTGTCCCTAGTCTATCTGTTCCAACAGATTTCAACTACAGATTACTCCAGTTAACTCCAGAGCCAGCCATAGCTGTTTCCTTGGAATGTACAGCCTCACAGACTACACTTCCTTAGCCTCAGATGGTCCCACAGAACCTGGACTATTGGGGAATATTTGTTTACACTGTGTGTCTAGCTAAGATGTGTCTCTGGCTAAGGCATCTTCTGATTGGTTCAATAAAGAGCTAAATGGCCAATTGCTGAGCAGGAGAGAATAGGCGGGACTTCCGGGGAAAGAGAGGAATGGAGAGGGAAAAAGAATCTAGTGCACAGAAGATGTCAGGGAGACTCTAAAGTGGTCAGATATAGGGTACAGAGTAGAGGTAACTGAGCCATGTGATAGAACGTAGATTAATAAAAGCAGGTTAATTTAAGTTATAAGATCTAGTGGGACAAGCCTAAACTAAGCCAAGCTTTCATAATTAATAAGAAATCTCTGTGTCATTATTTGTGAGCTGGTGGCCCAAAGAAAAAACTGATGACATTGGACATTGATTGACACAGCCTGCCCTTCCTGGCCCTGACCCAAACCCAGCTTCCTTGGGTCCCCAAACAACAACACTCCAATGTCAGCAGGAAGCAGCCAGAGAAAACAACACCCACTTACTCAGCACCTAGTGACCCAATAACAAAACAAAAAGGTGGGAGTGAAGGGACTCTAGCCAGCCTGGGCTTGGCAAACATGGCTCTGGCAGGCCTTGCCCCTCTTTTGCATTCCTTCTGCCTTGCTAAAAACCATTAGATTATAAACTGCCATTTTCCTATGTGCCACAACTGTCTCCTCTCTATCCAGAGGCCGTTCTTTGTCTCTCCAGGACAAATACCCTGCCCCCTTTCTCTTGTTCTCTTCCCTTCTCTCTTGTCCTCTGTCTCCTGTCTTTGGCTCTTATTCCCTGTTCTCTGTCCCTCTGGGACAGTATAAAGGTACAAAGGGAAACCCTGTGTTAGGAGGGGGTATTTAATTTTAATTGAGCATGTTAATTAGGTGAGGCATTGGGGGCTTTTGATTGCTAGATTTCAATACTTTGATAGCTAGACCTTGGTAGTGAGCCTCAGGAGGAGGAATTGGACAAATAAGGGAATAGACCTTGGTGGCTAGTTTCTGGAATGTAATGTAATGGTTTTCAGCAAGGCAGAAGGAACATGAGAGAAGGGCAAGGCATTGACTTCTTTTGGCCAGCTGTTGTATGATATCTCATTTGTATCCTGACAAATAAAGCTTGCCTGGAGATGAGAGAGCAGAGCTAACCACTAACCATAGAGGACAGGCAGTGGTGGCTCACACCTTTAATTCTGCACTTGAGCTGAGGAAGCAGGAAGTTCAGGTGTTCAAGGCCACCCTGGGCTGCAGTAGAGATTGAACCAGTCTAAAAGAGAAACAGAGCTAGGCGTTGGTGGCTCACACCTTTAATCCCAGCACTTGAGAGGACCACGCCTTTGATCCCAGCGCCTGGGAGGACCATGCCTTTGATCTTAGCACATGGGAGGCTAACACCTTTAATCCCAGCACTAGGGAGGTAGAGACAGGATTTCAGCCCCATTCAGTCTGAGGATTCATAGAGACAGGATCTCACCCATTCAGTCTGAGATTTCATAGAGGTAAGGAGTTTCTGGTGGCTGGCTGCTCTGCTTCTCTCTTTTACCTTTCACTTTCGATATCTGACTCTAGGTTTTTATTGAATAAGACTAATTAGGTTCACGCTTCAGCCAGTTGTGTTTGGTTCTAGCCTAGGTCTCTGGGCTATCTATCCATCTTCTGTGTCCTGGTGCTCCAGGTAGTGTCAGGGGTGGTCTTGATCTTGTGGCATGGGTCTCAGGCTGGACCAGCCATTGGTTGGCCATTCCCACAATTTCTACACCACCCTTACCTCAGCACTGTGAAGGTCTAGACTTGACTTTACAGCCTCCATTTTAGGGAAAGGGCCACCTAGACTTGACTTTACAGGCTCCATCTTAGGGAAAGGCCACCATCTCAGACCACCTGCTGTACTCAGTTCCTGGAAGGACCTTAGGAATGTGCCATGACAACTCGAAAGGATACAGAGCAGTCTCCTCCTGCAGACATCCTGTCTTCAGTTTATGGCCCTTGAAGATATCTAGATAATCCTGCTGAGCAGTCCAGATAATCCTGTTCAGTGGGTTGTGGTTCCCCATTGGTTTTGTGCCCAAAGTCTAGACCCATAGTTTCAAAAAGTCACCTTACCCCATATCCCTTCTACCCAACCCCAAGTTGCCAATTCCCAGCTTGTGGTTTTTCCCTATAAAAACTCTCTACACCTGGGCTCATGGCCGCTGCTGCATTTCCCTCCATCTGCCGTGTGGTGGCCCAGGTTGAACTTGAATAAAAGGATCCTTATGTGCTTGCATCAGAAATTGGCTCCTTGGTGGTCTCTGGGGGTTTCGAGAAATGGGTACAACAGCACATCTTGTAGGCAGGGCAAATTTCAGGTTGAAGGTTTTGTGGCTGGGTTGGTATCCCAATCCCTTACTGTAAGTCTTGTCTGGTTATAGGTGATGGCCAGTTCAGGCTCTGTATCCTCTATTCCTAGTAGTCTTAGCTAGGGTCACCCTTGTACATTCCTGGGAGTTTCCATTGCACTAGGTTTCTAGCTCAGTCATCTCTTCCAGTACTCTCCCCCTCCACCCCACCTCTTGATCCTCCTATATTGAGATCCCACAGAGCCACTGCATCTGACTTGAATTCCTGAGTGCTAGTACCCAGGCTTTGAACTATCTTTTGTTTAAAGTAAGTGATTCTTATTCGAGTTGTTCTTTTGAAGGCACTCCAGAGCCTTTGCATAACTTAGTCTTGAGAAGACCTGGCAAACCAGGTCTCATGACTGAGAACCGCTTAGGCAAATGGTTCCTTCAAACAACTCTGGATAAGAGGTTTTGGTATTCAGAGACTGACTTGCTAGAGGTGTAATTTGTGTAACAATAAATGAGGCTTCGACAAAGCCTCAGAGCAGTCAGGTCATCTGATGCTAGCTCCCCTGTTGCTGTTGTTAAGCCTGAATTACACTTTGGAGTGACCCTCTTTCTTTGACTGACCTGTAACACAGAGCACCGACACCTCCTGTTTCTTCTGTTCCCACCCTTGACATCTATTCTATTTCCTTTTCCCAGGGAGAGCCAAGCATCCCCTGAGCCCTCCTTGTTATCTGGCCTGTCTAGGTCTGTGGATTGTAGCACAGTCATCCTTTCCTTTACAGCTAATATCTACTTATAATTGAGTGAGTACATACCATGTTTGTCTTTCTGAGTTTTGCCTGCAAATTTCATGTCATTGTTTTTTAATAGCTGAGTAATACTTCATTGTGTAGATGTACCACATTTCTTTATCCATTCTTTAGTTGAGGGACATCTAGGTTGTTTCCAGTTTCTGGCTATCCATCAGGGAAATGCCAATCAAAGACTCAGATTCCATCTTACACCTCTTAAGATTGGCTAAGATCAAAACCACAAATGGCATCTCATGCTGGTGAGGATATGGAGCAAGGGCCCTCTAGGCCTCACAAACCATAAAGGCTATTGCTACTGCTGTTGTATATGAAAACGAGACGGTAAGACCCTATTCCTGGAGACGCTGCATGTGCATGCTATGACTGCAAGACAGAGAGAACTAAGCTGGGACTGACCTGGAGACAGCTTTCACAGTGCCAGAGGGGGCCATGCAGACAGGGAGAACTAAGCTGGGACTGACCTGGAGACAGCTTTCACAGCGCCAGAGGGGGCCATGTAGACAGGGAGAGCTAAGCTGGGACTGACCTGGAGACAGCTTTCACAGTGCCAGAGGGGGCCATGTAGACAGGGAGAGCTAAGCTGGGACTGACCTGGAGACAGCTTTCACAGTGCCAGAGGGGGCCATGTAGACAGGGAGAGCTAAGCTGGGACTGACCTGGAGACAGCTTTCACAGTGCCAGAGGGGGCCATGTAGACAGGGAGAACTAAGCTGGGACTGACCTGGAGACAGCTTTCACAGTGCCAGAGGGGGCCATGTAGACAGGGAGAACTAAGCTGGGACTGACCTGGAGACAGCTTTCACAGTGCCAGAGGGGGCCATGTAGACAGGGAGAGCTAAGCTGGGACTGACCTGGAGACAGCTTTCACAGTGCCAGAGGGGGCCATGTAGACAGGGAGAACTAAGCTGGGACTGACCTGGAGACAGCTTTCACAGCGCCAGAGGGGGCCATGCAGGTTGCTGGTGAACTGTCATCAACATTCCTATGGACCATGTGTGCTAAAATACCAACATGCCAGGTACAATGTATTTGCTTGTGCAGAAGTGGCTTGGCGGTCATGGGGAAGACCAACAGTCTTCTGGTTAAGGCCTGCTCCATGAGATGGAGTTCATGGAGCACTGTGAGCCAGAAAGCAAACTTGTGGCTGGGAAGTCACAGGTGGTATTCATACTCGGTCTGTCATGGGCTCTCCATCTGGGGTGAGTAGACTTGTGTGTTGCATCTTCTCAGGAAGTTTCATCATATAACAAAGCTTTACATTAATTTTTGTGCTATGGAAAGCCTGAAGATTTAAGAACTTTATTCTTTCAATATATAAAAATAAATAAAACAGTCCAATTTTTGGGAGTATCACAAATACAAGCAGAAGGTACTGTATCATTATTCTAAATAACTGGAATAAATTAGTTTCTTGTTCCTCCATCTTCTAATTATAATGGCAGAGTGAAAATTAGGCTGATATTAAGTTGGACTGCAACATCACTGTCACATGAAGTAGACACATGAAGAAAGCCATTCCAAAGGATGCTGTGGGTGGGGCATCTACTGCATTTTGCACTCGGGCCCATCTCTTCCTGAGGAGGGCTGACAAAGGTCTGCCCTAGGATCCACATTCTCTACTTCAGCAGCTGGCTCCTCTGACAAAGAAAATAAAGACAAATTAACCCTATTCAAGTACACACAGAGGCAAGCACGGCAGGAAGCAGAAAGGACAGTGAAGCAGGCGGTTAAGGAAGGAAGGGTGATTGGCACATGTGTTTGGTGGAAAAGCTTGTATACAAGGAACTCTTATTTTACTTAATAGTCCATGAAGAACACTAGCGATGTTGGCAGTTTGAACATGCTAATGGGAAAAGGGGAAATTTTACTATAATCTGTATGCATACAAAAAACAAAAACCAACCAAACAAAACCCCAGCAGTACATAGGATTATGCTATCCAGGATTTCCGCGTCCCCTGGAGGTCCTGGGATGAATCTCTCACAGATAAAGGTGAACTACAGGAATATGCATTTCACAGACCACTAGCCGTCTCTGACTCTGAGCTGGGTACAGACTGAGTGGGTGAAGTCAGATGCCTGCTTCTGTAATTGTGACAATGACAGCAAGTGGCAAGGGAACAGAGCGAACCCAAGTCTGGAAAACACCATGTAACTGTGTAACCAAGACAACAGAACCTGAGTTCTGACTCAGGCTCTGCAGATGAAGCCGGTGCTATCCCCAGTGACACCCAGCAACCTGTGCATTTACCTACCTGGGCACAGTCCTAAACTGGAGTTATCAAAATAGCGAATCGGATGGGGTGCTGGTAAAGACTTTGACCGGTTATCAAAAAACCAGGATTTCGGTGACTCTTTTGGCACAGGATCCTGCAACTTCCGTTCCCTGCACCGAGAAGGTGTGTGCTGTCTCCTTTTAGAATCTGCCCCAGTCACTTTAGGAGACTTTGGAGAATTCTCACGAGCTGCTTCTCTGTAAGTGTCTTTTTTAAGGCTTCCTTCCTTCCAGGTTTTAAACTCCTTGGAGAACTGAGGGTTTTCACTTGAATGGAAGCAGAAAGAGCAGACGACTCAATTCTCAAATGTGGGTATGGAGAAAATGTAAAAACAACCCTACCCTACTAAAATCTCTAACACGAAACTTACCATTTTATTACATTTGCATTTTAATTTCACCCCAATGCTTTCTGTCTAGACTACTTCCATGGTTCAGAAGTGAAAAGGAGCTATATAAATTGAAGAACTAAAGTACAATTTTGTTTGTTTGTTTTTGTTTTTTTGAGACAGGGTTTCTCTGTGTTTCCCTGGCTGTAGACCAGGCTGGCCTAGAACTCACAGAGATCTGTCTGTTTCTGCCTTCTGAGTGCTGGAATTAAAGGCATGTGCCACCAATGTCCAACACAAAGTAAATTTTGATAATGGAGCTTGAAAAAATTAAAAAAAAAAATTCAAAGTTTAACTTCAGGTTTTTGAATGAGTCTATAACATTGAGTGGTTTATGTGCTACTGTAGTTAGGTTTATAGAATGCTTATTGAACCTTTACAGAAGTATATTTTCATCTATTCTAATTTCTCTTCACTTTTTTGGTCGCAACTTCTTCACCTTCCTGAATCTATCTGCATATGATCAGATTCTTCCTTCAAAATGTAATTTAAGTTAACCATACCCTGCTTATCGTTTTTGCTGGGATAGGGTCTCAGTAAGTTCTAATGGCCTTGACCTCATGAATTTCCTGTCTTTGCCTCCTGAGTTCTGGAATTGCAGCCATACAATGTTTGGCCCTTTGTTTTTGCTTAACGTTGCTCAGTATAAAAGATGTAGTTGTTAACTTCTTTGGCTGGGGATATTTTATTCAGTGACTCATTTCTGCAGCGCTGGGGAATGGAAGCTAGGGCTTGTGCGTGGAGGCAAGCATTCTGCCACTGAGTTAGACTACTAGCCCTTTCTACTTCCGTAATGTGCAAGTTTCTTCTACTGTACCATCAGTAGTGTTTGGCACAAAAATTCTACTCTTCTATGGTAGGAGGAGCTGCAGTTTGTCTGTAAATAGGGCCTGTAAATAATGGACTCGCGGTCCTCTGTGGGATACAGCTTCATTGTGGAAGCTGTCTTCTCAATGGTCTTCATTTCCTGGTTCTTGACCTACTTAAAAATAGTTCAGAATAGCTGGGAAGATGGTTTAGCAGGTCAAGTACTTAAGCTTAATTCCTAGAATCCAAGTTAAAAGAAAAGCTGGGTGCATAGTACACGTCTGTATCCAGTGCTGGGGAGGTGGAGGCAGGAAGCTCTCTGGGGTTTGCTGGTCAGCCAGGTTAGCTGAATCAGTGAGAGACCTGGTCTCAAAACACGCCGGAGAAGCACCCGAGGAAGACACTCACACCGACCTCTGGCCCCCACATGGACAAGTCTGCACAGTTAATGAACAGCAAATGTGAAATGGAGCCAGGATATTCCCATCTGATTCTCTTTCTTTCTTGACAGGGTTTCTCTTAGTAGCCCTGGCTGTCTTGGAACTTGCTCTGCAGACCAGGCTGACCTCAGATTTAGAGATCTGCCTGCCCCTGCCTCCTGAGTGCTGGGATTAAAGACATGGGCCATCACTGCCTGGTTATTCCCATTTCTTTTAAAATAAACATTTATTACACAATCTCTAAAAATTGCTTTCCCTCAAATTAGTGAAAGGTTGACAATTACAGAAAATAAATGCAAATAGTTCCAACACATGTAGCCATAAACAGGATATGTCATGTAAACAAAATTGGCCTTTTTTGTTTGTTTGGCTTCTTTTTTGTTTGTTTTTGTGTGTTTTTTTTTTTTTTTTTTTTGGTTTTTCGAGATAGGGTTTCTCTGTGTAGCCTTGCGCCTTTCCTGGAACTCACTTGGTAGCCCAGGCTGGCCTCGAACTCACAGAGATCCACCTGCCTCTGCCTCCCGAGTGCTGGGATTAAAGGCGTGCGCCACCACCGTGTTTTTTGAGACAGGCTCTCTATATTATGTAGCCTTGGCTGACCAAAAAGTTACTATGTAGACCAGGCTGGCTTTGAACTCCAGAGTGCTGGGATTAAAGGTATGTACCATCACACCCAGGCTTAGAACTTACCTTAGTAGTTGATTCTTTTGCTTTATTAGCTGTTCATTTTGCTGCTTTAACTTAGAAATTTCATTTTCCATCCTTATATATTCACTTTTCAAAATAAGAGCTTTGGTGCTTTGTACAATACCACTGCCACCTCCACAGGTTAAAGGTTTACGCAAAGGCTGAGAGTCATGTTCTGATATCACTGAAAGAGGCAAACATACACACAGGTTGATATTCTTCTGTTTCTGTGCTGCCCAGGCTGGCTTTGGATTGGAACTGATCTTCCTTCGTCAATCTCCTGAGTGCTGGAACTATAAACAATGTGCCACCATGTCCAGCTAGGCAGATAAGCTCTGATGCTCAAAAAAGAAATATTAAAAACTGCAACAGGCCACTATGGAAACCATTTCCTAGAAGTCATCTCTGCTTTTCTGTTTCTCCTCAGTCTACTTGACCATCATTCTTTATTTCCCCAAAATCTGCCTCCAATACTCACATTACCGCACCTTCCATCCCATTATAGCAACAGCAGCCTTTTATAATCAGAGCTATCCTGAGTCTCCGATCCATGCTCTAATCACCTGTGGGGCTTGTCACCTGCTACCTTGCTGCAGGTCGTGCAGAGACTGCCCCAAAGTCACTCAGTACACTGCAAGTGCTCAACATACACTCAACTAAACACACCTCCAGATGAGAGTAAAACTGTCAGTATTGTGGCCAAAACTGTATAAATACGGAGGAGGTGTTACTGATCTAACAACCCACGTGGTCATCAGCAGTTTACTAAAGAGACAGAGAAGATATGTGAGGAGATTAGTGATGGTCATTTTTATCATTCAGGTACAATACAGGCAGACATCTCTGAAAATCAGAACTATTCCAGTGTCCCAGTGGATTAGAGATGAGCAACTCATTAGATGCAGAAAAGGCTCTTGACAAAATCCAGCCTTCCTTCATGATAAAAGTTCTGGAGAGAGTAGGATAGGAGGGACATATCTCAAAATAATAAAGAGTGTCTACAGCATCCCCACAGTCATAGTCTTGATTGTTACTGAAATCAGGTACAAGACAAGGACGCCCATTCTCTTCCCTCCTGTTCAATATAGTGTTCCAGGTCTTTTTGAGAGGAATAGACAACTGAAAGAGATTAAGGGGATATAAAGAGGAAAGGGAAAAGTCCAAGTATCCCTATTTGCAGATATGATTTTATATATAAGAGACTCTAAAGATTCCACTAGGAAACTTTTACAGCTAACAAATACTTTCAGCAAAGTAGCAGGATACAAAAATCAACATACAAAAATCAGTAAGCTTCCTAAAAAAATCTTGGAATAACTCTAATCAAACAAGAAAAGACTTGTATAATAAAAACTTTAAGACATTAAAGAAAGAAATTGAAGATGACATCAGAAAATGGAAACATCTCTCGTGCTCATGGATCAGTAAGATTAATATTGTGAAAAAAGTCCATCCTACCAAAAGTGATCTATAGACCAGTGCAATCTCCATGAAAATTCCAACACAATTCTTCATAGAAATGGAAAAAAATAATTTAAATGTCATATGGAAACATAAAAAAACCTGAGATAGCTAAACAATCCTGAATAATGAAGGAACTGGTAGAGTTATTACCATCCCAGATTTCAAATGATAACACAGAGCTATCTATATAGTAATAAAAACAGCATGGTATTGGTATAAAATCAGACATGATGATCAATGGAATAGAATTGAAGACCCAAATATAAGTCCACAAGCCTATGGACACCTGGGTTTTGACAAAGCCAAAACTACACACTGGAGAAGACAGAATCTTCAACAAACAGTGCTGGTCAAACTGGAGGGCTGCAGGGAGAGAGGGGAATTAGTTCCGCATCTGTCACCTTGCACAATACTCAACTCAAATGGATTGAGAACCTCAACACAAGGCCAGATACCCTGAATGTGACAGGAGAGAAAGCAGGGACTAGGCCTGGACTGGAAAAGACTTTCTGAACAGGACCCTGAGAGCAGAGCATTAAGACCAGCAATTAATAAATGAGACCTTATGAAGCTAAAACTCTTGTGTACAGCAAAGGACACCATCATACTAGTAGAATGGCAGCTTGCAACTGGAAAAAAAAAATCTTTACCAATTGTCCATCTGACAGAAAGTTAGTATCTAGAATATAAAAAGAACTAAAAAAACCCTGAACATCAAGAAAATAAATAACCCAATTTAAAAATGGGGTATAGAACTAAACAGAGTTACCAAAGATGAAACAAAAAAGACCAAGAAACAGAGTAGTGGTTCTCAGCCTTCCTAACGCTGTGACCCTTTAATCCAGTTCCTCATGTTGTGATGACACCAACCATAAAATTATTTCATTGCCACTTCATAACTGTAATTGTGCTACTGTTAATGAATTGCAATTTAAGTATTTGATATGCCAGATATCTAAAATGTGATCCCTGTGGGGGTCAGGACCCACAGGTGGAAAATCGCTGACTTAAAGAAATATTAAAATTCTTAGCTATCAGGGAAATACAAATTAAAACTACTTTGAGATTCCATCTTATACCAGTCAGAATGGCCAAGATTAGTAAAACAAGTGACAGCACATGCTGGTGAGGATGTGCAGGAAAGGGGAACACTTATTCATTGTTGGTGGGAATGCAAACTGGTACAGCCACTATGGGACCCAGTGTGGAGATTCCTCAAAAGATTAAAATAGATCTACCACAACACTCCGCTTTACGGCGCTTGGACATATACCCAAAGCATGCTAAATCTTACTACACAGGTAGTTGCTCATCCATGTTCATTGATGCTCTGTTCACAATAGAAACTGATAAAAACTTAGATATCATCAACTGATGAATGGATAATGGAAATGTGGTACATTTACACAATGGAGTGTTATTATTATTCAGGTGTTAAGAACAATGAGATCATGAAATTTGCACGTAAGTAGATGGAGCTGGAAACAGTCATCTGAGTGAGGTGATCCTGAAAGACAGACACTGCGTGTTTTCTCTGACATGTGGATGTAGCGTTTAGGCTTTAGATGTGAGCTTCATTCAGCACATGCAGAGTTAAGGCAGCTAGTAGGAAGCAGAGGGAAAGGGGAATCTTCAAGGAAGGGGAAATAGAATACAGTGCTATAAAGGGAGACTGGGAAATCAGAATAGGAGGGTTAAACAGTGAGGGAACTGGAAGGCAGGGTAGAGAAGGGAATATGGGAACTAACACTAAATGGTTATCTGAAGAAGCTTCCTAAATACACACATATATCAAAGCAATTGAAATGGGAGTTACCAAATAATGGGGGAGACAATGCCCTAACTAGATATCATATGCTATCAAATAATATTTCCTGTGCAGGTATCGGTTACTCTCTGCTTGGCCTAGCATGGGCTTTAGAAATCTCAAAGCTCACCCCCAGTGACACACTTCCTCTAACAAGGCCAATCCTTACTCCTTCTAATAGAGAATTTCCACTCCCTGGTGACTAAGTGTTCAAATACATGAGCCTATGGGGGCCATTATCATTCAAACCACCATAGTACAATAGTGGTACAAATGTTATGGGACTAACCAACCAATTCTTGACTGGATTTAAGGCCTGTTCCATGAGATGGAACCCATATTACCTAATATTATCAATGACATCAAGAATCTGAGACTAGATAGGTCATGGGACCAGAGGAAACTTAATACCATTATTCTGCTAAATGACTGTAGCAATAAAGTGAATCCTAATAACATACTACTATACCCTTAGAATCGGTGCACTGCTAAACTCACATCAGAGAAGCTGCTTCTTGCAGTAGATGGTTAAATTAAGAGACCTACAGTTGGACAGTGTCAGACAATGTGAGGCTTGTGAGCAGTCAGCCCCAGAGGGACGTCTGTACCACAGTCCACTCCTCAAGCTCAGGGATCTAGTGTAGAAAGACTGTAAGAGCCAGAGGTATGGAAGACTCCAAGGAAACTTGTAGAGACACAACAGGGCTGAGGCATGTATGAACTCAGATTGTAACGATACACATAAGACCTGCACAAGTTTAAGCCAGATAAAACCCCAGCATGGAGAAGAGAGTGGGCACAAGGTCCCACTCCTAACCAAGAGGCTATTTGCAATTGATAGCTGCTGGGAGAGGGAAAAAATCAGTTTTCTTCAATGGAATGACACTGGGTACATCAACCAATCACACTTGTTGGCAGGCCCCATGCTCAGGAACAGCTGACCAACACAAAACAGGTGTTTGCTTTGTGTTTTTTAAGAGAAAGAAAAAACAAAGTTGGGTGTGTGTTGGGGGAGGATCTAGGAGTTGTGGGAGGGTAAAGGATATGGAAAAAAAAAAAAAAAAGAGAACATACCAAAATACCTTAAGGCGTCGGGTGGTGGTGGTGGTGGTGGTGGTGGTGGTGGTGGTGGCACACGCCTTTAATCCCAGCACTTGGGAGGCAGAGGCAGGTGGATCTCTTTGAGTTCGAGGCCAGCCTGGGCTACAGAGCGAGTTCCAGGAAGGGCACAAAGCTACACAGAGAAACCCTGTCTCGAAAAACCAAAAAAAAAAAAAAAAAAAAAAAAAACCAAACAAAAAACCCCCCCAAAAAAACCCCAAACAAACAAAATACCTTAAAGCTATGCACATAATGTACATGTGAAGTCAAATCAATTTTATGTTTAAATTTGGGTCAAACCCCTTAAAATATCTCATTTTGACAATGCAAATATTTCAATATCTTAAGAAGTTCAAAATCCTAGACACTTCTGTTTCCAGGAATTGTAGATAAGGGACGTTCACCTTGTATATACTTATTATCTTGGCCCTTCTGTAACAAAGAAGCCTCACTTCTATTTTATCCTTTGAAACTTTCCAGTCAGGAACCAAGATCACTGCAATAGACACTTAGGAAGTTCAGGCCACATTAGATACCAGACAACATATTTAACATACTATTGTCATTTTCTATTACATTTAAAAAACTAATATAATTACATCACTTCCTTTCTTGCCTTTCTTCCCTTCAACCCCTGCCACACGGCTACTACTTCCTCTCAAATCGATTTTGATACTGTTACACATATAGACATAAACATTCAACCTACTGAGTCTGTTCAGTGTGGCTTGCATACACGATTCCAGGGCTGACTACTTTGTATTTGGTGACAAATTATCATTCCTCAGAGAGGTTAATTCTCTCCTTTCCATTTTCTTTTGAGAATAAGCATAACACATATATGCTATATTTTGTTGGGCATTTAGATTTCGCAAAGTGCTTTCCTACACCTGCTGGTTTGATGCTCGTGTGTATGAAGGTCAGGTTAGTTCACATGTCACATGTCACCGAGGGCACTCAGTCCAAAGACTTTCCTCCAATTTTCAGCTAATGCTTGTTCTAGTACATAAAGTTGCTCTAATACCCAGTCAGCATTCTTCCTCTAACAAAGCACATGACAGAAAAAAAAAAGAAAAGAAAAAAAGCTACTGCAAGGAGTATACAGAAAGAAATTCGACCCTTCAACCCCCAAACTATGTCTGTGGCAAATTTCAGTTTTCATGTCATTATCAATGTAGTATCAATTTATGAGCAGATCAGCTAATACTTATTCACTGTTATTATGCAGCCATTGGAATTTCTTAGTTGTATGCATATAGCTAAAACCTCCTTGGATGTGTTTGGTTTGTATTGGGAAGTAAGTTTTCCCTTGATAATTGAGCCATTCTTACAGAAGTCAATACTTGAGTGATGTGTGAAGATCTTGGGAGGCCTGCTCATTTCTAGGGAAATGGAGGAGGAGTGGATCTGGGGGAGAGGGGTGGTGGGAAACTTGGAGAAGTGGAGGGAGGGGAAACTGCAGTCGGGATATATTGTAGGAGAGAAAAAAAAATCTGTCTTCTTCAACTTACTTGAGGTATCCTGGGCTTGTTGATTTCTTCTAAGATTTTCTCTCAGCTGCCTTATCACTTCTTTTTGATGTTCAACAGTGGCTTTTATAGAGCGAACTCTAACAGGAGTAAGATAAGGAAAATATGTAAATGTCCGGGTGATCTGAAGTGGAAGAAGGGTAAACAGAACTGTTGCCGAGGGTTTCTAAGTTGATGTGCCACACAGACATGACACCCTATGCTGTAGCACATCAGTCCCTGGACTATGGCTCAGGTCTCAGGTCTCATGGCTACACCCAAATGCAACCATTCTGTTTAGCTGTCCGAACAGTCCAGCTTTATTATTGAGAAACCAAGTCATTTAAAACTTCTAGAAATGTAATAGGCATTAGTTATCTACTGAACAAAATTAGTTTTGGAGACCCTATGAACTATTACACCATGGGTGATATAAACAGAAAATCACCAGAGAATGAAAAGGAACAGGAAAACCAAACCAAACCAAACCAAACCACTAATTTCCATACTATTAGGAGAGCAAATCCTCACTGTAGCTCTGACTTTGGGCAAAGGAGTCAAAAGTCAAATTCTGTACTGCTCCCCAGGAGAAAGGGATACTTTATGAATTGTTAGTCAGCAATTCAAGAATTAATCAGAAATGATAAATTATAATCCTGTCTTAAAAATTATACTGTTCTTGGGCTGGAGAGATGGTCCAGCAGTTAAGAGCACTGGCTGCTCTTTGAGAGTTCAATTCCCTTCAACCACATGGTGGCTCACAACTGTCTGTAATGAGATCTGGTGCCCTTTTCTGGCCTGCAGGGACACATGCAGGCAGAACACTGTATACATAATAAATCTTAAAAAAAAAAAAAAAAAATGCTGTTCTTAAAAACAATGAAAATAGTGCTGGGTGTTGTGGCATAGGCCTTCAGTCCCACTAAAGAGTTGATCTCTAAGTTGGAGGCCAGCCTGGTCTACAAAATAAGTTCTAGGACAGCGAGGGATACAGAGAAACCATCTCAAAACACCAATACATGCTGACTGTATTTTATAGGTATGCTATTATGGTAAAAAGAGGATATGCTGTGGGGTCCCAAGTACTAGAAGAAAACAATCTTTACACAAAAACACATTAGGAGAAAAAAGAGAATCGATAGAACCAAGCTGAAACCTCAGTCAATCAAACACCCGTGCACACACAAAAAGCAAAGGCTCTCAATATCCACTCTGAAGGATGACAAGTCACCTTTAAGCTTTGATTCAGATATCATTGAGGCAGACCCATTCAAAGACACCCTGCTAACTGATGAGAATCATGCTTATTTTTTTCAGCACTGGGGATCAAAAGCAGGGCTTTGGGCATGTTAGGCTAGCACCTTACTGCTGGCTATACCACAGCCAGAACTGTGCTCAATTTTTTAATAATTTCTACACTTTAATGAACTTGAAACTTATGGGTGCTTACATATTTTTTTTAAACGTAAAGAAATATTTTTACAAATTACTTTCTAAAAAGTAAACAAATACAAAGATATCTGTGAAGTTTATAAAGCAATGCTATGTGACTAAAGCCATGTTCAACAAAGCCAAAGACAGACTTACTCTACTTCAAATTCCTTGGCATTTTCCTTCTTTTCTAGGTCAATCTTCACCAGCTGCATTTTGAGATCCTCAATTTCTTCTTTATAGGGCAGAGCTCCTAAGGCAACTTTGTCCTGTCATAGAAAAAAAAGTAAAGAAAAACAATGATTAGTTTTGGATTTGCTAGCTGTGAAGTGGCTGCCTTTGATGCAGCAGAAATGTCTGAAACCTGCCTACAACTCCTTACACAAGAAGACAGTAAAGGCATATCCCAATATTTGATATGAAGTATATCTGAAACTATATGCAAGCAAATATTGTTTCTTTAAGAAAATACTCTTTCCACCGGGCAGTGGTGGCACACGCCTTTAATCCCAGCACTTGGGAGGCAGAGGCAGGCGGATCTCTGTGAGTTCGAGGCCAGTCTGGTCTACAGAGTGAGTTCCAGGAAAGGCGCAAAGCTACACAGAGAAACCCTGTCTCAAAAAAACAAAAAAACAAAAAAAAAGAAAATACTCTTTTCCAATGGAAAATGTGATATAATTTACCAGATGAACAGAAAACTGGAAATGATGAAATGTGGGCTGGCGCCATGGCTCAGTGGTTAAGAGTAACTGGCTCTGCCCCTGCAGACAACCTCGGACAGCTCACAACTCTAACTCCAGCACCAGACAAGCACGTGGTGCAGAGACCCATGCAGGAAAAACAGTCACACACGACAGAAAAAATGAAATGAGTGAACAAAGGAAAGGAGCGCGGCAGTGTGGGCACAGAGCAGATGGGTGCTCGGGCCACAGAACCTCCCGGGTGTTCTGTAGCAGGACAGCTCAGTGAAACAAAGACAGCTATTTTGACTTAGGAAGTCCATATAACCTTACATGTCTGCAAAGATATGTATCTTAAAAAAATCATGACTATACTTGAATGTTTTCTACATTTACTTTTTTGTGCAGGACTGGGGCAACTTGCAAAGTTAGCTCTCTCCCTCCACCATGTGGGTTCTGGGGCACAGACTCAGGCTTGGTGGCAAGTATCTTTATCCACTGAGCCATTTCACAGGCTCTTGACTATCTGTAGAGTTTTATTTAGGTTTACAGAAAAACTGAAAGTATGGAAAACTCTCACACATGCCTTGTCCCTTTTCTTTTTTACTTTCTACTAAAATTATGTATTAGTACAGTACATTTTCTACAAGTGAACTAACATTAGCATCTTGTTTAGTTTTCGAGATAGGGTCTCGCTGTGTAGCCCTGGCTGTCCCGGAACTCACTATTTAGACAAGTATGGCTTCACTAGAGATCTGCTTGACTCTGAGAACCGGCTTTAAAGGTGAGCAGCACCACACCTGCCTAGGACTAATACTTTTACAGGAGGGATCTAGATTCCCCACATTGTACTGACTCATCTTTCTCTCTCTCCCCGCTCCTGGCAAATGCTAATCATTTTACTGTCTTCCTAGTTTTGTCTGAAGTTTTTCTAGAAGATAGGGAGCCTTTTCAGGTGGCTTTTACTTAGAACTATGCTTTTACGGGGCCTGTGTCTTTTCATGACTTGCTACATCTCTCTTCTCATCCCTAGTTTTTACAGACAGGATCTTTCATATTCTTGGTGAGCTTTATTCCCAGACTTATTTGTGGCTGTCTACTGTGAATGGGGTTATACAGGAAGTTAACTGATTCGTGTTAATTTTGTATTCCACCACTTTATTGAAGGTGTCTGTCTATCAGTTCTGAGATTTTCTGTGGGGTCCTTGGGGTCTTTTGTGTATAGAAGCACATCATCAGCAAAGAGGGATACTTTATGACTTCTTTTCCTATTTGTACCCCCTTAATTTCCATCTCATGAGCTACTGTCTTATGACATTAGCTCATATTTCAAGCACTGTAATGAAGAGGAGTGGAGAGAAGATACTTGTTTCTGATCTTAGTGGGGTGACTGGAGCTTTTCTCCTTTCAGTATGGTGGTGGCTATAGGTTTACCACATCTAGTCTTCTAGGAATCATGGTGTGTCCTCCTGTCCCAGGCTGATCTAGGACTTGCTATGCAGCTCCAGATGACTTTGAACTCCTGATCCCCATCTCCTTTCCCATGGGCTGGGATTAGAGGTTTGTGTCACTAAGCCTTCTTTGCGAAGTGCTAGGGATGGAAGCCATGGCTTCCGGCAGGTCAGGAAAGCACCCCACCAGCTGTGCTTCATCCTTAGTCCTCTCACTACTTCTCAGCAGTGCAGTAACACTGTAGAGACACACCAGAATGCGCCCAGTGTCTTCTTTTGACAGTGTGGAGTCCATTCTAATTTTTGTCCTTTTGTATCAGGTTGTTTGATTTCCTTTCTGGTATATTTTCTCCTGTGTTATCTTCATTATTTACATTTATGTCCATGACTTCTTTTGTCTTTTAAGAAGGGCTCCTGCTATGTTGGCCAGGCAGGTCCTGGGCTAGTGAGAGCATGCCATCCTCCCTCCTCAGCCTCCTGAGCAACTGGGACCACACCTATATGCTGTCACTCCTGGCTGTGGGTGTCCAGCATCAACAGTTGATGGGTCATCCTCTCTCCACTGAGGTCCCTCTGTCCTTTTTTTTTTTTTTTTTTGGTTTTTCGAGACAGGGTTTCTCTGTGTAGCTTTGCGCCTTTCCTGGAACCCACTTGGTAGTCCAGGCTGGCCTTGAACTCACAGAGATCCGCCTGGCTCTGCCTCCCGAGTGCTGGGATTAAAGGCGTGCGCCACCACCGCCCGGCTCCCTCTGTCCTTTTTAACAAGATCCCAGGGCTGCCTGTGAGTGTGTCTGTCTTTAGGCTGTCTGTTGTGTCCCACTGATCTGTTTGACTAGATACTGTTTTAAAAGTTCAAACACACCGACAAGAAAATTTCAGTATATGCCGAAAGTGTAGGAATTGCAGATATTCTTTGGCTATGATACAAAGACAATATCACATAAAACACTATCTAAACAATTCTTGTCTCAGGGAAATCAAAACTGGAAAAGCTGATTTAGAAATGATGACGGTAAGAACTCCATGTGGCAAATGTATCACCTGTGGTTAGAGTGATACTCACAAAAAACCTGCTGGCCTTCAAGCGTTATTAATTTAAAAGACTGAGATAGGAATTCCTAGCTACTAAGACTTGTTTAGCCCTTGAAGGTTAGGTGGATTCTGTTAACTTTTTTTTTTTTTCTGCTAACTATTCTTCCACTAGAAACATAGCCCTCTGTGCTTCTGATCTGATCTGAGCCATCCTAGATTTAGAAGTTCATAATGGAGGGGCTGGGAGATGGCTCAGCAGTTAAGGGCACATCTGCTCTCCTAGAAAACCCATGTTTCTTCCCAGCACTCACTTCAGGGAGCTCACAGGCTCCTGTAACTCCTGCTCCAGGGGATCAATGCCTCTGACCACCTCAGGCACCTGCATTAATCCCCCCCCCCCCCCCCCCCGCAGTTAAAAATAAACATCTAAAAAAGAAAAATGAATGAATGAATATGGGAAAATCCCTACAAGTTCATTTCAGTTCTGATTTGGGACATGGTGAGTTTCTTATTTTACATCCCATTTTCAAATATAATTATTTTGTTTTGTTTTGTTTTTGTTTTTCGAGATAGCATTTTTCTCTGTGTAGCCCTGGCTGTCCTGGAACTCACTCTGGAGACCAGGGTGACCTCGAACTCAGAGATCTGTCTGTCTTTGCCTCCACCACCACCCGGCTTATAACTCATTCTTTTTACATGTTCTTATTTTTTTACGATTCAAGCATTTTATTTTAGTTTTTGTGGTCATTATAATCTCTGAAAAAGCAATTGTATAGGATGATTATAAAGGTCCAGTATAGTTCAGATTTTAAACAAATCCATTTCTATCTGATTTGAGCAATTTGTAATGTTACAAGAAGAAATTTACCAAGATTTTATTCAAATTATGTTCTTTTTCAATCAATAAATGCTCTATTATATTACATGGCTGTATGCAGAGGATAAAATAAATATCCTTGGGAGTAAATTTTGAACTAAGTATTTTGGATACTACAGATTTAAAAATATGATTGACAGAAACAATCTTTTTTTTTGAGACAGGGTTTCTCTGTAGCTTTGGAGCCTGTCTTGGATCTCCTTCTGTAGCCCAGGCTGGCCTCAAACTCAGAGATCCACCTGGCTCTGCCTCCCTAGTGCTGGGATTAAGGGCATATGCCACCACCGCCCGGCGACAGAAATAATCTTAAAAAGTCAAACTATGAAAAGAGTTTATGGATCTCTCTTCAGGACAGAACAAAGCCATATCCTGGTACATCATTCTGCTGGCCTGCAGTACCCTGATGCCTGAGGCAGTCTTAACCGAGTTTGACAAAACGTGTTGCTTATTCCATTTTGAAATTCCCTTTTCCACTATACTAAAAATAATCAGTATTTCACATGCAAATATACTCCATTTCCTGCAGTCACTTTCTTTTGAAGTCTGAGAAATGAACTTGGGCCCTTACACAGGCGTTGTGGTAAGGTTGTGGTAAGAGCGGGGAACAGAGCATCCAATTATTTACTCAATCCAACAGGCTACAACACATTTTTATTTATGAAACTGGTCTGCCTTACCTGAAGTGTTTGTACCTTTGCTCGTGTGTTTTCAAGGCACTTGTTTGATTCATGAACTTGGCTCTGGAGTTCTGCTACGAAGGCCCTGGTTGCTGCCAGTTCTTTCTGCACCGCTGCCATCTGGCCTTCCTTACGGATGGCACTCTCTCTAGCTTCCCGTAAAGAGGCTTCCAGCTCCCGAATTTTCTGTTAGAGAAAGCACAGATCCATAGGGCAAATCCACAGTATGTTAAATGAGACAAAAACGATCATCTGTAGCTAGTTATTGAGTTTTCACAGACTCAATCAACAAACATTGAGGTTAAATATTGTTTAATTTATCCAAATATAAGTCCTTTTACTTAGAAAATAATATTTTACATGTTAAAAGAATGCAAAATTTCACATTACAACCTGTCAGCTAATTCTCTAAGTCATGCAAGTGAGAACACATCAGTTACATGACATACTAGTTAGCAAAGTTGTAAGCACATTTAGTAGTCAGTCACCTTTTAAATAAAGGACACTTGGACTTTCTAAAGTAATTTAAAGGTGAAAACATATAAAAAAAACCTTGAAACCAAAATGAAAATAAAGTTCTCCCAGATGCTAACCAAGGACTATGAAACCTTTTTGGGTATCGCCCCACCCCTAAAAATTTTCTGGGCAATAAGTATAAAATTTATGAAAATAGTCAACTATACCCAATAAACATACAGTTATACTTGGGGGAAAAAAAACCCCAAATCTGTGATCTTCTAGTTTCTAATGGTAAATGTCAAGCTAAAGGTTGATGTTTTATATTAAGTATTTATTTTGGAAAAAATGATAAATTATAATTGGCTTTTGACTTCCCACTAAGACATTGCATACTAACACAGTAGCATATTTGCTGTTGTGACAAATTCCCAAGCAAAGGCAGCTAATAGTCTACCTGGGTTGTTCAAATGATACTGATTCTTACACATGTTAATTTGCCTAACAATTCTGCTAAACTTGAGTCTCTTAGCTTTTATGATGATAATATTAGTCAATATTCAAGACAACAGCTAAAGATAAGCTAAACTGCTATGTTTCTCTAACTTGTTTTCCATGCACATTATAGTTTAGCTGAAATTCATGTTTTAAGAAACTTATAGGATACTGTAGATATACCATACATGGCAATAAACTACTCTGTATATAGTCTTTAAACTATGACTTGTTTCTTTAACTCACAGGAAAGATCTTACATGATATCAAGTTTCATAATTAGTTGAATGGTAACTACAGTACAACCATATGTAAAAATTCAACTCATCACACATATTTACAATAGTGTATTCATATTTAGTGAATATATTGGTGCTATATATTTGCTCTAAACTCCAGGAAGATTCATACCTCTGATGTTAGTTGTTCACCTACTGACGTGACATGAGGATTTTTACCATCCTCTGTAGAAGAATGTGGAGTAGGATAAACCTGGGCAGCAGACTGGGAGACAGTCACAGTCTGGTAGTCTTTAGATAGTTGTTCAGTCTTTTCTTTCAGTGATTTCAGGTAATGTTCCAATTCTTTGGATCTGGCAGCACTTCCTTCTTCAAACTCTGCTGACTCATTTATCATGGCCTATGAACAGTAAGAGACACTACAGCTTTAAGATAACTGATGCATTAAAATTACATTAAAAAAAAGTAGAATTCTAGGACAGTACACATGCTGAAATTCATTATTTAGAATGTCTTAGGGCAGTGCTCAAGACAATGAATGCACATTTCTCTTTCAACATATTGGATGTTAATAATGGTGTGAAGAAGAAGGGCTTGAGAAGATCCTGCTGATCTGCAAGATCATTTCGTTAGGTTTACAGTACCTCAGGAGGAGAAACTGAAGAACTGTGAGGGTTAAAGTCAGCAATAGCAGAGCTCACAAAGTAAACCTAACAATGATCTATTCTCTCCACTTCTTTCCAGACCTCAGCCCACAGAGAAATACTTTACTGATTTAAAACCCCTTTGTTATGTGTTTGGGTGTTTGGCCTGTATGTCTGCCTGTGCACCATGTATGAGTCTGGAGCCTATGGAGACCAGAAGAGGCCACCAGATCCCCTGGAACTGGAGTTACAGACAGCTGTGGGCCAGCCACCATGTGGGTGCTGGGAACTGAACCCAGGTCATCTGGAAGACTAGGTAGTGCTCTGAACGGCTGAGCCATCTTTCCTGCCCCAATTTACTGATTTTTGCTAATTAATCTATAAATCTTATATTCCTGTGTAGACAATAACAGTCAAAAGTCACTATTCTCTTTGACACTGGAGGCTGGCTGACACTGGGATGATGGGAATATGTCACAATACATTAAGAAGCCGACAGGATGTTCAACACCAGGTGTGAGCTCGGAATTCATGACTGGGTCAGATGTGTTATTTTGGTACAGGATCTTGGTAATAGGAGAGATTGATTATCTGTATGGATGAGAGTTCTCTGTACTGATGGGTTAATTTTTCCATAAACTTAACTAAAAAAAAAAAATACTGACACACATGCCATAAACAAAACAACAATTGGAACCTACAGTTCAGATTAAAGCATGTGACAGACCGTGAAGCTACTGAGGTGAATGCACACAGAGTCCCCCAGATGCAGCCAGCCAGGATCGCTTGTGGCTTTACCTCAGCTGCCGCCCACAGCCCTAGCAGACTTACATCTCAGTTTCCCTGAGGCCACTGGGGCAAAGGCTCATTCCTCACAAGCACTGAGAGGAGAATGGGAAGAGAACAGTGAGGAGAGGCAAAATCTCCTAAGTGGGAACTCAGTATCACATGCAAACAGCCTGCTACCTTCCCAAGTACAAACTGGTTTAATTATCTTGAAGAAACATAATACAATAAGACAAAATTTTTATATAATCAAAACTTTCATAGAGCCCCTATGTATAAATATTAGCCAGTCTAACCCTTTTAGGAATGAATAGAAAAATAAAAGCAAAGCATAAAAGAGCCCGAATGACGAACAGTTATACTCACAGTTACTTTGCTATTGTAGAGGTTATTCACGTGGCAAATGCTTTTGTTTTCTTTTTGGATGCCACTTTTAAGTTTCTCTGCATCAAAAGGAGCATTCAGCCATCGTTCCAAAAACTGAGTCATTTCTTTGCTATTACTTAGTACTTGTTGGAATTCTGTTTTTATGGTGGGGAAGTCATTTTCTGAAAAATCTTTAAGAATCTCCTGTGTGAAAAATAGGTATTGAACTATATGAACATTAGGAAAGATTTCACCCAAATAATATATAAACTATAAAAATATCATAACGGGGAAAAATACCTACCGTACTCTACTTATTAGGACACTAAAGTAAATGAATTCTAATTTAAAACTATTCCAATTACGTGCATAAGAGAATGCTGGTAATAATTCTACATGACAGAGGTAGTCTACCTATAGGTTCTGGTGGTTATTATTCTATGCACATGACAGGCCTCACATGTGTTGGGAACTGCAGCCAGCTTTACATTGTCGGGAGAGCAAGAAAGTCCTTGTAGAGTTGATACAGGAAAGAATTCTGACTTCCAGTCACGGTGCAGGAAGGCCCTGGGAAACCTACAATTCTCTGAATTCTCATTTGCTGATGTTAAATATACTTCCTGTCTATGTAGGCCTGGCAGCGTCTAAACAGTCCTTGGGTCAGCTATCATTCTAGGAGTTCCTAGTAATTTCAAACGCACACAAAGGTATCTATTTACAAAAGGCTTAAAATTACATTAAAGGCGTTAAAAAAGTATACCCCAATATGGCGGTCCATATCCTGGCTCAGTCTGAGGTTCTCTAAGTCTTTGGATGGAATATCATAAGCCTGTTGAAAGCTCCGCATTTTAATCTGAAGTTTATTCTGCTTTTCCACCTCCTGGACGACAGCCATTTCGACATTACTGATGACCTCATGCTGTTCTCCCTTCAGCCGAGTAATGTAGGTCAACACGTACTGAAGGAGGTAAACAGACAAACGAGACACTGTATTTAGGGGACAACGTCTGAGATGGTGAGGTCTCCTGTTGATTAGTTATACTATGACAGAGATGAAGAAGGAAGCAGTTACTCTTTATCCTCAACTTTCTCTTCTCAGCCTCTTGGGGAAGTAACCCTTCCAGATTGCTGCTTCCATGTTTGACTTCCTATGGGACGTCTCATATGGAGTGTTTTAAAACGTCACACGACACTTTCTATAAGCTCCCTTTTTCCTATTTTTATGTGTGTGACTAAACATGTGTGTCTGGTGTTCATGGGTCCCCTAGCACTTGAGCTCCAGATGGCGGTGAGTCACAGTGTGGTGCTGAGAGTCAACTCTGAGTCCTCTGGGACAGCAGCCAGGGGTCTTGCCACTGAGACATCTCTCCAGCCTTCTTATAATAATTTTTTGTTCTGTCAATCTCCTACTGTCAGACATTTGAGATTAAAAAACATATTTCATTTTATATAAAATTACATGTATACATGTGGGTACATGCACATGAGTTTAGGTGTCTATGGGGCCTAGAAGAGACCTTCAGAACCCCTGGAGCCAGAGTTTCAGGTGGTGTGAGCTGCTTTGACCTGGGTGTTAAGAGCTGAATTTGGGTTCTGTGTATAAACAGTAAATGCTCTTAACTGCTGAGCCATCTCTCCAGCCCCATATTGGATTTTCAAAATATTCTTCTAACACTCTTGTCTGACTAACAACCCCAAAATGTTACATGCTTCAAGATTTCTTTATTAAGCATAATTAGATGTTTGGCTTTAAGATAATGATAATTTTAATGCTACAATGTTCCCCAACCTCATAAATTTTGGGTATCCAACTGTCACAATCTATGAGAGGATTATCAACTAAAGAAACCCTATATGTCCTGGAAAATTTCAAGATTCCTAAGGAGCTTCCTCAGGGTTCTAAAAGCAGGAAGTCACTGCTGGAGGAGGAGACTCTGGCCAGCAAGTTGCTGAGGGGAGCTCAGATGACTGAGCTGCCTCCATGTTGAGCAGGAGGCCCCAGGGTGCAGCTTTGCTGAGTGATCACCCGTTGGGGTGGGCTTGCGGCCAATGCAGCTGTCTGAGTCATCCCGAGTCACCCCCCATAAACTGTAACCCCAATGAATTCATTGGTTTACTAAGTTGAAGTTGGACTTTGGTGTAATTGTTATTTTGGTCTGTTATGGATTCCCTATCTGGGGTGAAGACATGTGTTACATATCCCCAGGGAAAAATCTGTCACATAACAAACCTGTCAGTACCTCTACAATTGCACTTATAACCGGTCACAAGCCTGCCTCACCTGATTATGAGATCTTTGGGATATGACTCATGTGGACTCTGAGTACCCTCACATGGTGTCTAGGCATACAGGCAGAGCTCAAGTTTTGTTGAATGAATCCTATCTTCAGATGCATATTAATTTGTATATACATATTATATAGACAGTATATATGATAACTCCCAAAGGACTTAAATACATTGAAATATACAATTGAAATTATAATTACATCAGTATAAGGCCAATACAAAAAAAGTTGGTACCTTAAGTTTCTTCAGGATTCTGTTGAATTCCATGGAACATCTCTGGTGTTCAGCAAGAAGCTTTTTAATCTCTTTGGTTTGTGAGTATGGAAGTGAGAGCTTTGCTTTTACAGTAATTGCCAGCTCTTTTTGGGTTTTAATTTCCTTCTCGAAGTCAAGAGAGAACTGATTCAAGCACTCATAATCATTACCCATTTCTGAGTATCTTTTCAGGAGCTCCTAAAGGACATTAGAATTCATTCTAATGAATACTAGAACACTGTAATACCTTCTCTTGGAAAAAAAGAAATTAAGACCTTTGTGCTTAGAAGACATAATAGTAATTTTTAGATTATAGAAGTAATGTATAATGTTGTGAAAATCAACCAGAGGAAAATAAGAAAACCAACTTTTCTTTTGGTCTTTTGAATAAATTTCGTGTGCACCACACACCAGACTGAGAGCTGGCTTATGCTTATAAAAGCAGTAAGAGTCTGTGGATAAATCAATGACCATGACTCAACTGCCCCTCCCCATCTTGCTCTAGTCACTCCACACATGTCTGTGATCTGCTAATACTGTCTGGACTTCTACCTCTCCGTTATCTGTTCACATGATTAAAATTCATCTTTCAAGCCGGGCGGTGGTGGCGCACGCCTTTAATCCCAGCACTCGGGAGGCAGAGCCAGGCGGATCTCTGTGAGTTCGAGGCCAGCCTGGGCTACCAAGTGAGTCCCAGGAAAGGCGCAAAGCTACACAGAGAAACCCTGTCTCGAAAAACCAAAAAAAAAAAAAAAAAAAAAAAAAAAAAAATTCATCTTTCAAAAGGGCTCTCTCACTGGCCAGCGGCTCTTGCCTTTAATTCTAGCACTAGGAGGCAGAGGCAGGTGGATCTGTGAGTTTGAGGCTAGCCTGGTCTACAGAGTGAGTTCTAGGACAGCCTTAGCTACACAGAGAAACCTTGTGTTGAGAAAACAAAAAGAAAGGCTCTCTGCTTATACTCAACTTTCAGTATTCACATCTTTCCTTTTCAAATGTGGGTCGTGTTGTGTCTCTCACACTGTACAGCTCTCCAGCTGCATCTACTCAGAGCAAACCCCAAGTCCTTTTGTGGCCTCACAGCCCACCCCAGCCCACTCCTCCTTGAACACAAAGCCTTCTCCATCAGCTTTGTATCCACAGTTCCCTTATCTACAACATTCTTCCCCCAGAGTAAATCGAGCTCTTTACTGCTTTTAGAGATTTGCTCAGGAATACTTTCCCACACGGGCCTTAAAAAACAAATCACAAACTCCCACTGTGTCATCTGTACATTTATGTGTACATGTATATGCATGCATAGCTGTACTAGACCATACTGCTTACGAAAACATTTGCTATCATCTACCCACTATACAGTTTCCTTTAATTCTCTTAGGCGTGACAGGATGCCTTTGGAACAGTAGCTACAATGCCACATAGCTCCTATAGGGCTCTTACTTTTATCCTGAGGCACTTTTCATGAAGGTGTTCTATACTGTGTTGTTCTCCATCATCTAGTAACCTCTTTGCATGGTTCTGATGGTCCTGGTACAAAGAAATACACAGCAATAACCACATGCACACCACATGTCTAATCATACATGCTTATATCTTACATCATCTTTCAATAACAGAATTAAATATTTCATTGTAATATAAAAACAGTATTAAAATAGGCAAAAAGAGGAAGTAATAATTACTGTCAAGCTACATGGTGAATGACTTCAACTCACTGAAGGAATACTGAAGGAATACGTGTGAGAAGTACATGATATCCAGAAAAGGATTTGCTCCTCATTAGGCCTTAGATTTCTAGTTTGTAACCTCTCAATGTCTACATTAGAATTACTGTCACCAACCAAATACACCAGAAAACCCAAGCCTTGTATATTCTTCCACCCTGGGGAGGAAAGTCTAAATTTTGTTCATATTCTTTCTGTGTCTGATTAAAAAGCACAGAACAAACATACCCTCCCTCTTTAAACTAAGACATTAGTTTAACTTGGCCACTGTAATACCTAGGAGACTATCTGCTCGATACAGATTTGTCAAACAAATTATGTCTGTTTGTCAATTTAGACAGGCCCTACATGTACTGGACTCACAAGTGTTTAGTGTTTATGATAAGACTGCACATTAGGCTTTCTATTTTACCCTTCGAACATGAAAATAAAGTTATAGATTTTCTGCTACTTTCTAGAGGAATGAATTAAACTTTTAAAGATTATTCTGAAATAAAGTCAAGAAAACTCCCTTTTAATCTCTACTTTGTTTCCTTCTAACTTCAGTCAAGAAAACCCATTTGTTTCTAGAAGTCCATTACTATAGGAACTGGAGGCATTTAATCTTTTGCAAATGTAGTCTTTGAAATATTTTTCCACTTAAAATAATGCTAGTTTCTTTTTGTGTTGTTTCAGAAATTTAGAAGGATAATAACAAATCTTTTCTTAAAGATGAAGAATTTAATTTTCTGAAAAGCATTGTGGCTTTAATGCTTCCTTTTTGTGTTATAATTATACGTTTCCCACCACAGTTTAGTATCTACATAAGTTTAAAAAAAAATTAGGAGGAAGAGGAAAAAACCCAAACCCACAGCAGGCAAATCCAGACAGCACACACTGTGACCACCCCCAACGCTTCAGTCTTAGAGCTACTGGACGGCAGTGGAGGGCTCTGAACTTACGCTCATCAGCATGTGACTGATGGTGTCTTGGGACTGTTCTCTTTCCACTGTGAGAGACTCTCTTATCCTGGTTAGCTCACTGTTTTCCTGGGCTACAATTCTTATTGCTTCAAGGTTTTTGTGAATTTTCTTAATCAAGTCCAAGTTATTTTCACCCACACTTTGCACATACGAATTCTGAGCCTCAAACTGATTGTTCAACTGCTCAATTGCCTCCATTTCTTTATAAACTTTACTGACATCTTCTTCCTCTTTAAGAAGCTGAAGTTCTTTTTCCTGAAGTTCTTGGATCTTGAGATAATTACAAAATAGAACAGAATAAAGAATCTCTTCACAGAAGGGCAATGTCTACTGTTGTGTATGTACACATACATTATCAGAGTACCTTACGAAATCGGTGTTTCAGATTTATAGTGTTTGCAGTCTGGACTTTGCTGGTTAAAAACCCCCATCTAAAATCCTCCCAAATTCAAGATTTTGAACTTCACACTGGTGCTCAAAACCTGTCTAAAATTGAGCATTTCACATAGCAGACCAGGAATCCTTAGCCCATATTTATGTATTTTATTATCACTTCTAAGTGACTAAATACTTTTAATAAGCTCAAAGAAAAAAAATGTATGCTCAGTTAGAAATGAGCTCGACAATATGCCTGGGGTACAAGAGGGCCAAAGGAGCCGGGCTTTAATCCCAGCACTCAGGAGGCAGAAGCAGGGGATCTGAGTTCGAGGGCAGCCTGGTCTACAGAGTGAGTTCCAGGACAGCCAGGGATATAAAGAGAGATCCTGTCTTGAAAAACAAACAAAAACAAAACAAAACAAAGATCCAAAGGACCCAGAGTACAAGTTCTGACCCTTCCTTTCCCTCGGTGCTGCTCCCCACTGAAAACTGACTTGTTTTCTCTGTCACCATCTTTTATGGTCAGAGTCAATAAATAATATGAGACTTAGAATTCCATCATATAGATGAGCCCCATTCAGCCAGTGCCTTGCGGGTGGATACTTGGCTTACTTCTAGATTTTGGTTTCCACAAATCACTCTACACAGAACAATGTATTTTGGCGAAATCAGTGAATATACTGGTTGGGTAAATTCCTAGAAGTGGTACTGCTGCACCAAATGTACTGTATGCACTGGGAAGTTTTCAAAGAGACACTGTTTGGCTGGGAAGATGGCTGGAAAGAGCACTTGCTTTTTTCAGTTCCAGGAGCTCCAACACCCTCTTCTAGCCATTACAGGTACCAGACATACACACACACACATGCAGGCACACACATGCACAGAGGGAGAGAGAGGGAGTGAGGAAGAGAGAGAGAGAGAGAGAGAGAGAGAGAGAGAGAGAGAGAGAGAGAGAGAGAGAGAGAGAGAGAGAGAGTGAGAGTCCATCTCTGGATCCTGCACTTTCAGGTAGAGTGGTGTCTCTAGACAGGAAGAAGGCAAACAACTCACCTTTCCCATGGTGTCCCTTAGGCTTTCCTTGAGCTGGTCTTTCTCCATCCTGAGCATTTCCTCAATTCTCTTTAGAGTGTCTCTTTCTTTTATTACAGATTTCATTTCCTCGAGGCTTTCGTGAAGCTTCTGAGCCAGGTTTAAATTCTCCATCTCTATCTTACTCAGAGTTAACCCCTGCTCATTGAGCTGCTTCTGTGTTTTACTGGCATCTTCTTTCAACTTAAGAAGTTGAAGTTCATTTGCCTTAAGTTCCTGAATCTGAAGACATGAAATCACATTAGGGCACCGACTCTTTAAAAAAAGCTTTATTTTTCATTTTTTAGACTTAATTTTTTATTATTGCTTTATTTTATGGTTAAGGGTGTTTTGACTACATGTATGTCTATGCACCATATGTATGCCTGGTGCCCATGGAAGTCAGAAGAGGGTGTCACTCCTGGAACTGGAGGTAAAAGACAGAGTTGTGAGCTGCCAGGTAGGCTGTGGATATCAAACCTGGGTCCTCTAGAAGAGGACTACTGAGCCATCTCTCCAACTCAAGAAAGCTTATTCACTTTTCATTATGTGAGTGAGCTGCTCATGAAAGTCAGAGATACAGGAGCCTCTGGAGCTGGAGGACCAGGCTTTGAGCCACCTGACATGGATGCTGGAAACTGAACTCCAGTCCTCTGCCTCTTAACTGCTGAGCCATTTCTCCAGGCCAGGATAAAGACTATTTTAAAAGAAAGCTGAAGAATAGTTTTGCTGGGAGTGGTCATTCATGCCTTAACCCCAGTACTTTTAGGTGGAGGGAAGAAAAGAACAATTTCTAAATTGACTAAGATAGTAATCTTTCCATGCTATTCTCATTAATGTTTTCTAAAGGCACCCACCCACTTTCTTTAGAGGTATAACACATATAAAGCATATAAAGCATACTAATCTTAAATGTAGAGTTTGGTGGTTTTTGTGTTTTTTTTTGGGGGGGGCAGGATACTCTATGTAGCCCTGACTGTCAGGGAACTCTTGCTGTAGACCAGGCTGGCCTCGAACTCATAGAGATCTGCCTGCCTTTGTCTCCTGAGTGCTGGGATTAAAGGCATCCACCACCACTGCCCGGTTCAGTCATTCTTGATATATGCATGCATCTATAAAATCACACCCCGGACCAAACTAGATAGCATTTGCAGTATCCAACATCTGTGTATCCTTTCCTTGAGGTTAATATTAATCTGACCTTTAACATCCTGGATCAGTTTTGCTTCCTTTTGAACTGACGATGACAATGGAGTCATCCATTCACTTGCTGATATTGTTTTCATTTCCCCACTATTTTGAATAAAACTGCTATGAACATTCTTGTAGACTGTGTAGAACAATGATCCTTGTCCTTTTCAGTACACACCCAAGGAAAGGAAACGCTAGGCTTTACAGTGAATACTGCTAAACTGTTTCCCAGTATGGTTGAACCTTTATAACCCCAAAGGCTTTTAGGCATGAACAAATGGGATGCCCAATCAATACCTTTTCTTGTAATTTAATATTTGCATCTTCCAATTCCATTTTCATATTTGACACTTCATCTGTCTTCTTGGACACAATCCCTCTGAGTTTGTCAATAGTTTCTTGGTGCTCTTTCAGATCCATGTGAACAATTCTTAGTTTCTCTTCCTTTTCTAGATCCTTTTAAAACAGGAACATATCTCAACATTAAATAGTATTTTTAAAAGTAAGTAATATATTTTCTTAGTTTAAAAAAATCATGTTTTTACTTCTTTTTTGTTGTGAACTGGGAGTTGAACTCAAGACCTTGTACAAGCAAGCAGATGTTCTGATATTGAGTGGGACAGTCTGCTTTAACTCCTTTAAAAAAATTGCCTTAATTATTATTATTATTACTATTGTATGTGAAAGCTTCGCATGAAGTCAATGGACAGCTCTGTGGTGTCTGTTTCCCCCTCCTTCCTTTACACAGGTTCCAGAGAATAAACTCAGATCATCAGGCTGGTGCAGGGAATGCTTTACCCGATGAACCACACTGGGGGAGGAGGGGGCTGCTTTTACTACTTAATGTTCTTTATTGTTAGAAATCCATAGACTTTCCTTCCCATTTCATTTTCCCATACTCTTACTTCAAGAGGCTAACATATCACACATTTTACTTAACAAACTGCTTCCCTCTTAATGTGCTTGAGCTGCTTGTACAGGATCTTGGCCTATTGCTTGTATTTACCAGTTTCTTCCTAAGACACATTTAGGTTGTTTCCTATCACAAACTGATATAACCAAGCAACTTTGGGATCTATTTGTATGTTTATGTATACACTCATTTGCATATACATTTCTTTAACAACTGAATCGGTGTATACCTAGGTTAAAATTCCATAAAGAAATGCTGAATTCACCAAGTTCGGGAATACCAAACCGCCTGCCATTCCTCTGTCGCCATGATGGACTCCCACCCTCCACCCCCCAGATGACTCGGAAACCTGCTAGGGCAGGGTGGGAACTTACACTTGCTTCCAGTTGTTGAAGACTCTTCCTCAGTTCGTCTCGCTGTACTCTGAGGGCTTCATCCATAATTTTTAGGTCATCATTTTCCTTAGTAACAAGTCGTATTTCTTCAAGGTTTTCATAAACTTGTTGAGTCAATTTTAACTTCTCTATTTCTATGTTCTCCAGAGCTGAATTCTGGGCTTCTAGCTGCTTCTTCAATTGCTCCATTTGATCCATACTTTCCCTGAGCTCAGCTTTCACTTGAGAAAGTTGATGTGCTTTTTCCTGGAGTTCTTGGCTCTTAATACAACCATATAATAAGTTAGAGCATTGAACATATGAACAGCCCCCCCCCCCCCCAACAGTCTTAAAATTGAAGCAGCAAATCTTGTGCTTCAAACTTAGACAGGTTCACAGCCTGTTTCCTGTTTCATTACACAGAAGATCTGACTCCATTTCCGACTATTCAGATGAAAAAATACCTGTGTTTCTAGCGTAGCATGTGTATGTACTAAGTCCCCTTGAACACGTGATATTTCCTCTGCCTTATCAGACACACTCTCCCTGAGCTTGCTGATAGTCTCCTGGTGCTCCTGCAGATGCTCACAAGCAACTCTCAGCTCCTCCTCTTTTTCCAGACCCTTAGTTATTAGGAAAAGAAAGAATTGAAGAAATACATTTCAAACATAAGCTATACAAAAGGAAGTAAAAGTCTTCTTGTTCTCTCAGGCCTCCTGGTCCTCACTCTCTTGAGCTGCTTTGGGATGTGACCACATATTCTAGATGAACCATGGTCAACTTATCTTTCCCCAAGATAGGACACTACAAATAGTGTCAGTCTACTTTGTTAGCTAAGGCACAGCATTCCATGAACCAAATGCTGTTTATTATACTAGTTCCCTATTAATGGACGGCGTGAATGTGCTACAAGTATCTTTGCAAGACTATGCCAATGTGTAGAGTGTAAACAGTTACAACTAGACTCCCAGGACCAATTTTATACTTTGCCCACCTCAAGCCTAGTGTCAACTGGACATTAAGCTGTACGACGGCATAAAGATGGCAACTCACTCTAGTTACTGTCTCTTTAAGGCTTTCCTTCAGCTGGTCTCTCTCTAGTGTGAGACGCTCTTCCACACTCTTAAGCTCATCTCGTTCTTTTGCTACAGATCCCATTTCTTCAAGGGTTTCATGAAGTCTTTGAGTCAAGTTTACATTCTGCATTTCCACCCTCTCCAGCTTTGACTTCTGGTCCTCCAACTGCTTACTCAAGCATTCCACTTCACATCTATTTCCTTGAGTTTCATTAATAGTCTCCATTGCAAGACATTCATGCTCTTTGTCCTGAAGTTCTTGGAGCTGAGAAAATAAGTTGGTACACAGGTACACAGAAGTGGGCTTTGTTAGTTTTTAAGAGAAAGGAAGATGTATTCCTACATCAAGGCAGAAACTTTTCCATTTAGTGATATAGAAATACAGGATATAGATATGATAGGATAAAAGAGTAGATTATTGAATCTACTTTTAAAGAGCAACAACTTGTTTAAAATGTTTTCTGTTGCTATGATTTTAGTTTATTGATACAAATTTAAAGTTAATTTTGTTATACTGTATGTATATTTCTACTCTTGTTTAAGGTTATTATGTTTGTGCAGCTCATTAAAATTGTAACGTATAATTAAGAAATACAAATTAATAGTCATCTACAATAGTCAAACTTATAGTCATGTTACTTAGGTTTTATAGACATGCAGAGATATATTTCAGTTAGGTAGGTAGTATTCAAACACTTCAAAGATCTATAGAATATGGCATTTAAAATGTTTCAAAAACTTAAGACTTTCTGCACAGTGAGACACGTCTGCTCCTGGCAGCACTGATTTACTTCAAAGAGAAAGATGGGCATCAAAGACACTCCACATGGAGTTTATCTTCTTCTTGACAAAAGTAGCCATTTGGGCAAGAAACAGTTCTTGCCTGGACTGCTTGACAAGATGTTGTATCGACTAGACATGCAGGACCCATAGGAAAGTGACCACTGAACCTTTTAGGTTCCTGCTTCACAGAGGAGACTGCCAGATACTCTACAGGACACACGGAGAAGTGATTTTTGGAAGTTGCTTACAATGCATTTCCTGTTTACTTAGGTAATATTATATCCTTCTGGGGTCTCTGATGTAGTTGAAGACTAAATAGTCATAGTTATAATTTTGCTAAGTTATGATAAAAGATAAATTAGATATGAAACTTTAGACTCACAAATATAGGATAGATAGAATATTTTCTTTAATTTTACCAAATACAAATAGACTAGATATTGTAACTGTAATTCTTGCTTGATAACTGTTCATTATATGTAATTTTATTAGTTAAAACTTTCCTTTTTAATTAAACAGAAAAGGGGAAATGCTGTGAGATAATGCTTTTGTACACTGGTTTAATAAAATGCTGATTGGCCAGTAGCCAGGCAGGAAGTATAGGTGGGACAAACAGACTAAAGGAATTCTGGGAAGAGGAAGAGCAGAGTCAGGAGCCACCAGCCAGACACAGAGGAAGTAAGATGACAAGGCAGAACTGAGAAAAGGTACCAAGCCACGTGGCTAAACATAGATAAGAATTATGGGTTAATTTAAGTGTAAAAGCTAGTCAGTAATGAGCCTGAGCTAATGGCCATACAGTTTATAATTAATATAAGCCTCTGTGTGTTTATTTGGGTCTGAGTGGCTGCGGACCGGGAGGGAAACAGGAAAATTTCCAATTACAATTTTGTCTGATGTGTGCTGTGCTTTCTTTGATGAGAGTCGAGAAGGAAAGAATAAGTACATGTGCTTTTCCACTTAACAAGGAAGGCCTTCTTCCTGTAACCCAGAATTTGACTTTCCTAAATCTCTCCGAGTACCTGCTGCTTGATCTGTCTTTCCTGAAACATTCCTTGAACTAGTAATTTCTATGTAGTCATTCAGTCATTCATATGAATATGAACAGTTTTCAGTTCCCTTTAATCATTACAGAAAAATTAATAAAATTTAATAGGTGACATCACAATCATCTTAGTCCTATTTTTTTTGTTTCCTCCAAATTAGCAGACAGACTTACCTGAGCACCAATTTCTTTAATGTTTTCTTTCTGTTGTTCGATTTCCACATGAAGAGCCTCTCGTGTTCTTCTCAGTTCATCTCTTTCCTTAATTAGAATTTTTACTTCCTCTTGACTTTCTTCTACTTGTTTAGTCAACTGGAGCCTGTCACTTTCCATTCTTTGTAGTGCTGAGTCCTTGGCTAGGAGAAGTGCCTTGACTTTGTCTAGTTCTTTCATTTTCTCTTGAGACTCACTAGTTTCCTTTATATTAAGTTGTTCCTGTTTCTCATCAAGTTCTTGAACCTTCAAACATCAATGAAATAAGTTATTAGCACAAAATACCAAACTCTCTCTCTCTCTCTCTCTCTCTCTATTCCTCCCTCCCTCCGTCCCAAGGAAAGGAAAATATAAAACAGGTTTCAAAACAGCTCATTATGTAAACAGCAGTCTTCAAGTCAGCAATCTCCTTCAAGTTTCCTCCCACTGCTTTTCACCCTCAATTTACCTTTCTCTCTAGTTCATCAGTGGCCGACTCTAGCTGCACACGAATACTTGACAGCTCAATGTCCTTCTGGGAGAGGCTCACTCCTAGTGTGTCAATTTTTTTCTCTTGCTCTTTCAGGCAACAATGAGCAATGTTAAGTTCCTCTTCAGTTTCTAGACACTTTAGTATTAGAGAAAATTGCAAGACATTTATGGAAATATAACCATTATAGTATAACCAACTCCTTTTTGAAAAGATTTAGCAATAAGGAAAAGCAATACAGAGCAAAGAGGAAACTATCTTAGTTGCAACAGTCCTGGGATACTGGGACGCCTGGAGAGCCTGCTGCAGGCACAGTAGTTCACCTGTTTCCTTCGACCAGTACAGTCAATAACCCAAGGTGCAGCAGTGGCAAGCATGTACTGGCAGCAACCACAGCTCTCTAACTGGACTTAAGAGCCGATCAACAAGAAGGACACCACACCCGGTCCTGGGAACCCGACCAACTACTCAGGGCTGGTAAAGTCATGGATCTTGGGAGGAGAACCTATAAACATCTTTTTACTAAGCCAGCATAATCCCTAGCTACATTCTAAATATTTGTCCTTTTTCCAAGTCGAGCATTTCTATTTCTTCTCTCAGTGATGCTTGATGCCGACTCTCTGCCTCTGCACCGCTCATCAGCTGTTACACCTCACTCATTACTTCAGCAGTCTCACTGCCCTTTCCTCCCACAGTGAAGAACTGCTCCTTTTTGTGGAGCGCTTCTTGCATCTCAAGGGGATTCCAAGACAATACATTTGATAACTAAAGATAATTATAGAAGGAAGTAAATTAGTCATTCTCTTATGTAATGAAGATAGGATCCAAGGGCTCATTTACAGAGTAACTTTCTCCCATTCTCTAGGTAGTTAATACGATTTATTTAAGGACTCACCGTATTGTCAAGTATCCCATTAGACAAAGGCTAGAGATAAAATGGTTGAATTTTTTTTCTTTCTTTCTATGATTCTTTCTGCCAGAATCATACTTAAGGGGAAAAGACAGATACTATGCCAAATTTCACCAAACAGAAGAGATAGGCTACTTAGGGCATTAATGCCAAGCATACTTACTATCATGGGTGATTAGGAAGGGCTTCCTAGAGGACAGAAAACTGAGAGGTGAGGGATGAAAACACTAGGTACACAAAGGTGTGTAAGTACTGCAGGTGGAGAAATAATCAGAGCAGTCAAAATTCCTGAGAAGTACAGAAGAGCATCCCAGGAAGGGAGGGCTGCAGAAGGATAGACACCGGCAGGCTCTATGGTCTCGGGCCTCATGGGCCGTGCAGTGGATTCTAGTTTTTAAAGAGTAACAGTAATATAATGAACAAATTCAAGAAAGCATCACTTTGTCTCAGAATGGGAATTGTGTTAGAGAAGTGTAAGAATGAATGTAAGGGGATGGGAGAGTTGGCTCAGTGGTTAAGAGCACTTGTTGAAAAGGACCTGGGTTCAATTCCCAGCACCCACATGGAGGTTCATCACTTCCTTGGGCACCAGGCATGCATGTGGTAAACAGATGTACAAGCAGGCAAAACACATATACACATAAAATAAAAATAAATCTAAAACAAAATGAATATAGGGAGCTACAAAGAAATAATGGTGATATTGTATAAGGGTATTGGTAATGTGGATAGAAAAATGGGAGGGTTTTAATGCAGGTTGGGTGCATGTGTGCAGACACACACACACACACACACACACACACACACACACACACACAACAACAACAAGGTTTGGAAACTGTATTATAGAGTAAGTGAAGGGGAAGACAAAGTAAGAGCAGGATGATTTCCAGGTTTCTAACAGAAGCAATGAAGAAGACGGTAATACCGTATAAGAGAAAAGGTTTGTTGACAATTTAATACATAATCTTCCTTATTTGTCTCAGAATCCCAGAGTGCTGAGATTACATACAGTTGCCTAGCACCATGGATGGCACGGAGAAAGAAAGAAAATATTTCTTTCTGCTTTCGCTTTTCTGTGACTAAAGCAATGGTTCTTCTAAGTCAATTCTGAATACTTAAGAACAAGGTGTCTGGACAGTTTCAATCATTTCTTTACATTCAGGAGCAATTTCTAATTACTCTGTTTCCTGTCACTCCATGATTAAGAAACATTTGCAAAAAGTTAGTAGCAAGGTTTTTAAATGTGACACAAGCAACCCTTTCCTAAGAACCTAATTTTGATAAAAGACTAGTTAAGAAGGAAGAAACTCATTTTATCCAAGCAGAGTGGTACATATGCCTGTATCCTAGAACTGGGGAAGGGGAGGCAGGAGAATGAGTTCAAGGCCAAGTCTGGCTACATGAGATTATCTCAAAACAAAACAAAACAAAACAAAGACTCACTTTAGCCAAAGCTTTCCTGGCATCTTCTCTCAGCTGGGCACATTCGACATGAAGTGCTTCTAGTGCCATTTTCAGATCGTCCCTCTCTTTAGTGAGACATCTGATCTCTTCCTGAAGTTTCTCAGTCAGCCCAAGTCTTTCTATGTTCTCTGGTGGCTCTGAATCCAGTGTTCTGGAGTGTTCTTCCAATGGCTTCAGTTCATTCACTTTTCCTGGAATCTCTCTGACTTCTTTCACATTAGGAAGCAGCTCTTGTTCTTGGAGCTCTGGGATCTTGTGATATTCATAAAGCACAAGGTTACTATCTAGAGATTACATTTTTCCAACAGAAAAGGTCAGGAAATTTTACCCAGCAATGAACGTGACCTTGAATCTTGGAGTCTCCCTTGGACCAATAAGCCATTGCACACTCACTGTAAATCCCTTTGATTCTATGTGAGGTCTACTTTCAGTCTGCCATGCTTTCTTTTCATCTTAGACTCGAAGTTGAACCAATCTTTATATATTATCATCACACTATTAACTCAGTCAGTTACAGACTTAATTTCTAGACTGGTACTCAAATTATAAGCAAAAAAGGAAATAATCTTAGGTGTTTATGAACATTCCAATAAATGGGTAGTCCCCATCTTTTGCTGAATTCAAATGATATCTCCCAAGTTTTCTGTTTGTGCACACTAATTCCCTATTCACTCTAATAACTACTGGAATGTAACTTTGTATATCATATTTCTATAGTCACTACCTTAGAATCGAAGAACTGTTTAAACATGTATATACACTGACAAAAAGACCTGTTTTATTATACAGTAGTTTCAATGCTTGGCAGAGAGCAGGTTGCCCAGTTATCCCAGTGCCATCTTTTCCACATAATTTACAACTCTTTGATAGTATCTTATTCATTTGATTGCTCATTTATCTACTACATTATTCTACTACAGATCAAGAAGGATTTTGTCCCTGTTATCACTGTTTTCCTTTCGCTTCTTTGGTAAGACAGGATCTTACATATATCAGGCTATCCTTAAACTCTCTGTGGAGTCCAGGTTGGTCTTGAACTCCTGATTCTCCTGCTTCACCTCCCAAGTTTTGAGGTTATAGGTATGCACCAACATACTGACTTTCCCCATTATATCTGTAACCCAGACTATGTCTGTCACAGTAGACAGTCAACAAATTCTTACCCAGTGAATATATCATAACTGCTTACTTATTTTCCTTCAAAGGAGGAAGGAAGATGTGGCCAAGGACATGAGGAACAATGACATACCTTTCCTTGCAGTTCGGCATTGGCCTTGTCTGTGTCCCGAGTGCTTGCTATTTCATCTTCTTTCTCAGAAACGCTTCTTAGCCTGTCGATGATTTCTTGGTGCTCTTTCAGATGTGTGTGAGCAATGTTTAGTTCTGTTTGTAGGCCCTTAGTCAGTAGATGAAATGTAAAGAATGTTACAGCCTTTGCTCAACACTGCCTCCCTCTTGCCAGATGACTGGGTTTCTAAAGAAACGTTTAACAGATAAAGAAAAGGCTACATACAGCATTACTTACCGTAGCATATTCTTTAAGTTGTCTTTTTTCAATTTCAAATGCTTCCTGCAATTCCTTTAGATCATTTCTTTCTTCGGTTATAGATTTCATCTTCTCACAATTATCATGAAGTTTCTCTGTTTCCATGCGCTCCAATGCCAATCCTTGGTTCTTAAATTCATTCTTTAAGCTCTCCATTTCAGTCATCTTTTCCTGCATCCTACTCACATCTTCTTGTGTACTAAGAAGTAGCTGCTGTTTTTCTTGGAGTTTCTGGTTCTTAGGAGGGACAATTTTTTATAATTATCATGTTGCAGATATTTTGCCTAATTTTTATGTAGTACCATTAACAGAACATTGTCTATATCAATGTAAACAGACAAGCAGAATTAAAAGTAAACTAGCCCATAAACACAATGTTTATGGTGGGTTAAACAGTTCAGGACCATCTAGAAACTGAGAATGTGAACTTGATTGGAAATGCGACTTTTACACATATAATTGTAAATGTTGAGACTAGATTCTTTTGGATTACAGTGGTCCTTCAAATCAATGACAGAGAAGGACACAGAGAAACCTGGAAAAGCAGATTATGGAAAAATAGCATCAGAGACTGGAGTGCTGCAGCCCAGGGCAGCTGGGAGCTATCAGATACTACTTAGAAGCAAAGAAGGCTTCTTCACTCAGCTATCCAAAGGAACACGACTGACACTTCAACTTTTAAACCTAAGGACCAAGAACAGTGACAATGCAGCATGTGGAGGCCTGTGGTGGTACTGTGTTCCCCAAAATATTGTGCACCCTAATAAACTTATCTGGGGTCAGAGAAGAGAATAGCCACAATATTAAACATAGAGGATAGGTAGTGGTAGCACACGCCTTTAATCCTAATATTCCAGAGGCAGAAATCCATGTGTTCAAGGATACAGCCAAGCATGGTGACTCACTCCTTTAATCCCAGAAAGCGAGCCTTTAATCCCAGGGAGTGATGGCAGAAAGCAGAAAGATATGTAAGGTGTGAGGACCAGAAACTAGAAGCATTTGGCTGGTTAAGCATTCAGGCTTTTGCACAGCACAGTTCAGCTGAGAGGCATCCAGTCTGAGGAAACAGGATCAGCTGAAGAACTGGCGATGTGAGGTAGCTGTGGCTTGTTCTGTTTCTCTGATCTTCCAGCGCTCACCCCAATACCTGGCCCTGGATTTGATTTTATTAATAAGACCATTTAAGATTCATGCTACAGAGGCCCACACCTTCAATCTCCGCACTGGGGAGGCAGAGGCTGGTGGATCTCGGTGAGTTCGGGGCCAGCCTGGGCTACATAGTGAGTTCAAGGACAGCTAGAGCTACTTAGTGAGACCCTGTCTCAACACACACACACCCACACCCACACCCACACACACAGAAAGAAAGAACAGCGACACAATGCATTTCTCATCTTGTAAGCCACTAACTTTATGGCAATTCTGGTATTACCTTGGAAACTTACAGAGGTTGATCAAGGTGAAATGAGAAAATAAAATAAAATGCCAAGACTAAAATATACCAATACAGAACCATAATTCCCTGTGATACAAATACATAATATACACATATCATTTGTTTATTTAGAGACAGTCTCATGCTGTGGCCCAGGCTGGCTTAGAACACACTATCAAGTCCAGGCTGGTGTCAAATTTACAGTGATCCCCTTTCTCAGACTTCAAACTGTAGGGATTACAGGTATGAGTGACCACGCCTAGCTTCCCATCATCTTTTACTTTTTTTTTTTTTTTTTTGGTTTTTTGAGACAGGGTTTCTCTGTGTAGCTTTGCGCCTTTCCTGGAACTCGCTTTGGAGACCAGGCTGGCCTTGAACTCACAGAGATCCGCCTGGCTCTGCCTCCCGAGTGCTGGGATTAAAGGCGTGCGCCACCACCGCCCGGCCATCTTTTACTTTTAACAGGATGGTTATGGGATGACCCAAATAAACTCAAGAGCATCAACTACGACCAGCTGTTGATTTCACTTCTTAGGAGTATGAAAAGACACAGGTTTTAAAGTAAATCCAATTATATGGAAGGGCTAAAAAAAAAGATAGAAAGAAAGCTCCCGAGAACAGTGGCACAAGTTACAGTGTGCCATCAAGCAGTGGCGCTGCTCTCATCCTGAACAGAAGGGACTTTGAGTGTGTTTTAGAGTCACCGAGTCCCCTGTCACAGTCTCAGGTCTCACATGTCTTACAACAGCACTTCTCTTTACCAGTGAGTCAGAAACCTGTTAGCGTCCAAGATGGGGATAGTGAACAGTCTTACATTTCAAAGAAACTCCAACACAACTCCATATGGAGAGAACCTTTGTTTGTTGGCTGATGTGTCTCAAGTACTCAGCAGGGTGTCTAATCCATGGTAGTACTCAATAAATTTTGATGGATGACTATATTATATGATTAATTTGGACCATATAAGGCTGCCTGACTCTTACCTAAAGATGTTATAATTATACAATCTTTGCAAGGAATGTTAAGAATTCAATTCAAATTGAAACTTCAAACTGTTAACATTGATACTTCTCCTTTTTGGAGATATTCACTATTTCTTAATTTAAGAGTAGAGGAAAAGAATTTATTGGTAAAGTGTGTGTGGTCGGGACAAACAGCCAGGAAGGCAGCACGGGAAGCTCACCTTTTCCTTTAACTCTCCCTCTACTCCTGCTAATCTCTCCCACGCCCTGGAGAGCTCCTCGCTCTTCCTGGTGGCCTCGTCCTTCTCCCGTGCAGCTATCTCTTGCTGCCTTTTGAGTTCATCTCTAAGAAGTCTTAATTCCTCCTGGTTTTCAATAGTCTAGAGTTTAAAAAAAGTCCCAGATTAGCATTTATAGTATTTGTTTACCTTTATGAAATCAGGAAAACCCAGAAATTACTTTTGACTCAAAATGAAGAAATCGAAGTGATACTACATAGAAAAGGAAGTGTAAAGTGAAGTCAGGCTGCTGTTAGTGGCCAAAAGACTAAAGTCACAGTTTTTTTTCTTAGGCTTTATGACTTTAGATTCAAGCACTGTTAAGTGACCAGTCAACTCAAAATGGTTCCCACTCCTTGCTGGCAGGATGTAGGCTACTTCATTATGAAGGCCACACAGCAGCAGGCCTCTACATGAAGGTCACCAAGACATAACAAGTCTACAGAGAACACACTGTGTGTTTGCATGCTAATTTTCATTCAGTTTGTTGATAAACCAGACAATTCTAAATACAGAAAATAGAAACAGCACCAAGTATCAGGTTCTACTGGATCCACAGGGAATTTCCTAAATTATTAATTTCAACCTTACAGATTCTAGAGCCTTGTAACAGATTAAAAAAAATTGAGTCAGGGATTACTGACAAACATGAATGACTTAAAACAAAATTAAAAGCTACAATATTAAAGAGAGGCATTTAGGAAGCAATTTAAAAAAAATTATGTATAATACCAGCAAACCATAATACAACATTAAGAGAATAAATCATTAAGGATATTCAATGGCTAATTAGCTTATAAAAAATGTTCAACATCTTTTGTTAGGGAAAGGCAAAGTAAAATAGGTACATTAGCAAAAGAATGGCTAAAACTGAAAACATAAAGTGTTGGTAAGGGGAAATATGGAGCCACCAGAATTCTATTTGTTGACGGGATTGTAAAATGGTAGAGCTGATTTGAAAATCAATCTGACAAATTATTATCAAGTTAACACATAACCCCCAGTGGTTCTATTTAGGCAGAGACATTTGTCAAAAGTCATCCAACCTTACATTTCCATGACATATCTATTGCATATAGATTCTACCCAAATAAAGTTAATAAAATCGAAGTGAACAGATAGAAATGTATAGCCAACTGCAGAGAGCTAGGTCCTACCATCTCGATATTTTCCTTTAGGTCCATCTTCAATTGTTCCTTTTCTGCAATAATACTTTCCAATGTTTGCTGGAGTCCACTATTCTCCTGCAGTAGAGAGTGTATTTTCCTCTGTTCCTCTGTGACTTCATTATCATTATCACCTGCAATCAATGTCGGGGCGTTTTCAGCAGGCAGACTCTGTTCTTCATCTGTGCCATCCATCTAAAACATGAACACATTAAAGAAGAATTTAAGTTGTTAACATCTACTCTAATATTAGGGAAGTATCTATCCCTTGTATTTTGTATCAAGTACTAGTCTCTTATCAACACACTGCGTCTCCTCTACAACCTTAGGAGCTCGGCATTATTTCTATCTCTATTTGGTAATTAGGGAACTTACATTCATTTATGCATTATGCAGAGAGCATATAGCCAGCTTTGGATGCAAGTGGTCTGGCTCTAGTACTCGTATTTTTAGACCTGTTCACTGATAAGAGATGCCTAGGAAGCTATATACATTGCAATTTTCATGTTCAATAGGTTAACCTGACGCTGTGGACATTCATTTATTCAAACTGATTAGATAATCAAGGCATATGCCTTTCCTGTCTACACATCTTCCTTAAACATTTTCTAAGTTATACAATGGTAGTATTCTGGTTATTTTATTTTATTTTTTGCTACAAAAAGAATACTGAGGACTTTGCTTCCCTGAGTGCTGATGGTTACAGTTGGAATAAGAAACAACAGACGTTGTATCAAAGTGGGAACCGTGGGCAGTACGTCAAGGGCTGGTCCTGGAGGAAGGGGGCTGAGCTATACAGCATTTACCTTTCTTTGCTTCCTGACTGGGAATATGATGTGCCTAACCTCTTACTTCTGCTGCCGCAAGTTCCCTGTCGTGGTGAATTATACCTTTGACACTGTGAGGCAAAAATAAACCTTCCCTGAACTGCTTTTGTTAGATTTTGTCAGAGCAACAAGAAAGCAACGTATGTAAAACATGGGTTTTGGTGAAACCATGATTCCTCAGGCAGGTAAGTCAGTGCTGGGAAAACAACACATTTTGTTATGCTCTATGACTCAGGGAGGAGTGGCCTGGCACCACCTTGAAGGAGAACCTAGTGTTAAAAAATAGGCTTCTGTAAAAAGTCTAAACTTCCAGTATTTTTAACAGACGCTTCATGATCTTATCCCTGTTCAACTCATGTGTCACCTAGTCTCAAATTCTGTCTTCCTAGCCACTAAGAGGTTTTAAAAGTACTCTTACAGCTTGCTGTTACCTCAGGGCTTTAATATCAGCCATCCTTTATCCTTGCATTATTTTACTGTCCTCATTTCTCAGTCTTTGCCCCCCACTTCCACCCTTTGGTCGTGTACTTTCCTACTTATGTTTCTGTTGCTGTCACGGACCGCTGATCGGGGCAACTTGGGGAGGAAAGGGCTTATTTCATCTCGCAGGTTATAGTCCATCATTGCAGGAAACCAAGGCATTGTCTGCTATTAAGGAAAAGCTTGTAGAAGCATCTGGAAAGTCAACCACCGTTCTTTACCTTCTGCTGAACTTCATCTCTACTTCCTCCCCTGTCCTTTATATGCAAATTCTCGGACACTTCCTCAGCAGCTTTCATCTTCAGCATGCTAATTGTTTCTTGGTGCTGTTTCAAAGACTCAAGAGCATTTAGTAACTGTTCTTGAGTATCTACATTCTTTGTAAGAGAAAAAGAAAACGATCGCCATTAGTATGTGAGGCACACTAACCTTATAGTCACTACTTGATCATACATAACATGACTTCTGCAGTTCTAACAGTTGGCCCATACCATGTTCACAGTGTCCTGAATGTCACTTCGGAGTTGGTCCCTCTCCGTTTGCAGGCTTGCTTGGAGTTGCTTCAGGTCTTCCTTTTCTTGGGTTAAGGCTCTTACTTCTTCCAAGGTTTGCTGAAGCCTCTCAGTGAGCAGTGCCCTCTCCTTCTCTGCAGACTGCAGGCTTGAGTCTCTGCTTTCCAACTCCTCTCTCAGCTCCGCCATTTGACTTAACCTTTCTTGGCCCTCGCTGGTTTTCTGCTGAAGCTCTTGAGTCTTGTGAGAAAGCTTTAAAGAGAAAGTGTGATACAGTAAAAGCAGAACGTTGTATCACACACAGAGACAGACACCCGTGTACACGGACGATACTCTGAAAACAGAAGCCCATTTCTCTTGTCGACAGTTTGTACCAACCTCGGCCTTCAAGGAATCCAAACTTAAACCAAGGTTTTCTGCTTCTTTAGAGAGAGTTCCTATTTCCTGCTTCATCCTCTCCTTCTCTTCCAAGAGCACTTCATATTTTTGCTCAAGTTCCATGTGAAGGGTTTTCAATGTTTGGCATGCTTCATCTCTGCTTTCGTAATTCAGCTGGGAAGCTGCAAGGTCATCTTTAGCATTTCCAATTTCTTCAAGTAAGCCTTGAATTCTACTGTCTCTATGAGCTACTTCAGAAAATAAGTTTTCTCTTTCTGCAGTTATTAAACAGAGCTCTTCAGATTTCTCATGCAGCTATGGAAAAAAGTAAGATTTAGGGATGTTAGCAAAATATGTTGGATACCCTGAAGCAACTTTCTGAAAAAATTGTCAAGTTAGCAAAGATCTGACTGAGGAATGGTGGTTATTTTGATTTGCAGTGCTGAGGATGGAACGTAGAACCCAGTGCACACTGGGCAAGCACGCTCTGTCTACAGTAGAGGGCAATGTTCTTGTCATTAACTCTTCATTTAGCCTGTTGAAATCCATCGTAAATGCTTTTTTCATGATGTCATTGGGCTCCAGGTAAAGAATACACGGAGGAGTCAGTATAAACAGCTAACTGAGACTTATCTATTTCCTTAGCTGGCATCTGAAAGTAGTCTGTAATGTGACTGTGTGGCAGGCACTTCAGGTGTTCCTCAAAATTTGAAATTCCTGTCCCCCGACTAAAGTCATTTCTAAATATTTAATCTATGGATTGCTGTGTATATTGCTCTGTATAAATAAAACACTGACTGGCCAGTAGCCAGGAAGGAAGTATAGGCGGGACTAGCAGAGAGGAGAATTGAGAGAACAGGAAGGCGGAGTGGGAGGAGATGCCAGCCTGCCATCCAGGGAGCAGCATGTAAAGGCATGTAAAGGCAGCATGTAAAGGCAGCAGGTAAAGCCACGGAACATGTGGCGACATACAGATTAATAGAAATGGGTTAATTTAAGATAGAAGAACTAGATAACAAGAAGCCTGCCACGGCCATATAGTTTGTAAGCAATATAAGTCTCTGTGTGTTTACTTGGTTGGGTCTGAGCGGCTGTGGGACTGGCGGGTGAAAGTTTGTCCTGACCGTGGGCCAGGCAGGACGGGAGAAAACTTCAGCTACCATGGATAAACTATGCTTTTAAGAATTATGTATGAAGCATCATTTTAAATAATTAAATAACCCACAATATATTTATGGGTAGTTCGATCATTGGGAAAGGAAAAGGAGAGAGCTAAACAGCCCACAAAAAGAAGGGCAAAAGCAGAGGCTAGCGACCGGCTTAGGGGCACACCCATGTGGCTCAGCGACTAGCCTGACAACTATTTGGGGGCCTGAAAAGAGCACCTGCTGGTCTTTTCATGCACTGAGCGGTAAAGGGACTTATTGTTTACAGGACAGATAAGGTTTCCAAGTTCTTTAGCAAGATATTTGCCATAAAGTATGTACTCAAATTCTTGGCCCTTTTATTTCTTTTTGAAAGATAGACAGACAGATAGAGAAGCTGATAGGTGAGTTTGCAGATGCCTTTATTGGGAAAATTTATAGTGGCTGAAAAAACTATCAGTGTTAACCTTGCTGCATTTTATTCTGAAATTTATTTATTTATTTTTTACATGTTTGGGTGTTTTGCCTGTATGTATATCTGTGTACCATCTGAATGCAGTGTTCATGGGTGTCACAAAAAGGCTTCAGATCCCCTTGGAACTGGAGTTAACAGGATAAGCTGTAATTTGCAATGTGGGTTCTGGGATCAAACCTGGCTCCTCTGGGAGATTAGTCAGTGCTCATAACCAGTGAGCTCTCTCTCTCCAGCCCTTGCTATTTTTTAAATACGGAATTTTCAATTTAGTCTCTGAGAATTCCACACATACATACAATGTATTTAAATCACATTCAGCCCCCTACCAATTCCTCCTTGATCCCACTAAGTCCCCCTCCCAACTTTGCGTCCTCTGGTTTTGTAACTTTCTAAGTTCAACCAGTCACCTGGGCATATGCATAACTATGCTGCCACCTGCTTGACCATGGTAAACCTACTAGGGACCAAACTCCTGAAGAAAACTGTCTCTCCCTCCCTCCCCTAGTGGCCATCAACTGCCAATAGTTTTTCAGGCAGCTGCTTGAGTATAAGCACACAAGTCTTGTCAAATCTGGAAGATACTGTTTTGCCCTAGCCCCCTCTAATCACTGGCCCTTACAATCCTTCCATCCCTTTGTTCTTGAGGCTCCCTGAGCCCTGGAAGGACATATAAAATACATGTCACAGACATTTGTTTTTTGCATTAAAGAAATTTGTTTTTGAGTCATAGTCTAACATGGTAGCCCAGGCTGGCCTGGAACTCCTAGTAAACCCATCTCAGCTTCTTGAATGCTGGGATCATAGGCATGAACTACCATCTCCAATACCTTCTCATTTCTATTCTTTTTTCTTCAACACAGTGACATGTCTTGTACCAAGAAGTGGGCTAGAAGTATGTGAACACATTTGAAGACCAAACACAGCCAGTGCATGGATTAGGTTACTGAGCACTGTGAGAGCGTGAATTCTGTCTTCCCATCACTCGCTGAGTCACATGTTTACAGTGTCTCCTGTCTTACCTCTTTCCTCAGCGTTTCCACCTCAGAGGGTAAAGACTTCAACTCGGAGAGCAAGCTAACTTCTTTTCGCAAAGTTTCTTTTTCTTCAGCTTCTTTATTCAGTTCTCTTTGGAGATCAGTAATCCTTTTTTCCAGTTCCAAATATGACAGCAAACCTAGAAGTTTTTGATAAATTAGCTTATGTTGATATGAAAGTGATCTAATTTTTAATAGATTTTAAACCACCTCTCAAGTCATGTCCAATGTATTTGAAAAATAATTTTAAGCCTTTATTATTGTGCCCATAGAAGTATTTATGAACACGGTCATTAAAGACATTTAAACTGAATAGTAAATTCTTTTTAAAAAGTAAGAGCTTAACAGGCACTTAATTTTGGGAATGTACTTAATCCCTTTAGGTGAGTTCCCAGGGGCCAGTGTGCAAATATCTGAATTTGTATGGTACCTTTGCCGTCTACCAGGGCAGTGAGTTTTGATATTTCTTGAAAAGCAAACTGCAATTCCTTATCTAGATCAACTTGCATTTTCTTTTTTGCCTCCAGCTGGCGCTGATACACCTGAATGTCATTTTCCATTTGCTTACAAGAATCTGAAAGTTCATTCTGTTGGAAAAACATTGAAATTTTGATGACACCATACTGATCACTACAACTATGACATCAAAAATTCTGAAAATTACTTACAATTTTCTCCTTCAGCTTAAGATTTTCACTTCTAAGGAAGGCCGACTCTCTCTTGGCATCAAGGGCCACAGTGTCCATATCAGACAACGTTTGCATCACATGTTTCAGGTCTTCAGTGGGTTCCTAGACAGAGGACAAAAGGACTCAGGAGGTCCAGTTTTGGCAGATTTGGAAACTACGCTGGAGAACATACACACATGTATGTTATTCCTAGCTAATGAAAAAGGGTGAAGACAGGATAGAAATTCTGGCTATACTTTTCTATACAACAGCTGGTCTGGAATATAATTTAAGAAACTGGTTAGTGTTTAATAAAAAACTTAAACCAGTTATGGTGGCACCCACCTTTAAATCCCAGAACTGGAGACAGAGGCAGGTGGATCTCTTGAGTTAAGAGGCCAACCTATCCAACATATCTAATTTCAAGTCAGCCAGAGCTACACAGTGTAACCCTATTTCAAACCAATTCCCCCACACTGGCACAGAGAAAAAAAAACAAAACAAAAAAACCAACTAAAACTATTGAAGCATTTATTTCAACTCTCTGTTGTAAAATGCTGATTACACTAACAGCTCATTAATAAAAAATTTATGCTCATATTAAACATATGTAAATAGGCTGTGACCAAGCCTGGTACACAATCAGCTCAATATAACCATTTACTAGGATGATTATGACGATGTACTAGATGCCAAGTCAATCACACAACAAAAGAAAACCCAATTTTACCAAAGAGTATGACAAGTCTATTTTCATCTTTTCTGACTTCTGGGCATCTATGTATTTCTGCAGGTCCTTAATCTGATCCTCTTTTTCTTTAAGAAGCTCCACTTTTGAACTTAGTTCATTCTAAAAGAATCAAAGAACAGTGAAACTGAATTTAATAAATGATTTGAACTTAAAATGACAAAAGAACTTATATTTAAAAATTTAAATTGGTCAAAATTCACTAATATTGAAATATAATTCCTCTATTTTCTGTAATCATGTTTAATTAGAGGACACACATTTTAAGCTGTAGTTACTTATCAAAGAAATACTAAGATAAATGTTTACCTCAAGATCTTGATTATATACTTCTGCATGTTTAACTAAATTCTTTAAGTTGGAAATTTCATGAATTAGTTGCATCTGTAAGAGCATGTGAACAGGAAACAGCAAACCAATTGTTAATAAAGCAAAAAAGAAAGAGAACCAAAAAAAGCATTCTTTACTGCTTCAGAAACACCCATCTCAGAAGGGATTGAGAGACTAAGTGTAGGAGAGCACCTCATAATCTAACAGTCCAAGAAAAGCGGGGTGTAGAGTGGGCTCAGCAGTTCAGCTCGAGGTCGGTTCCAGCATCCCGCCAGGCATCTCAACCATCTGAGACTGCAGCACTATAGGATCTGATGCCCCTGTGGGCACCTGCACTCATACATGTACACACTTACACGTAAACAATGACGGATGCACCTCCATGTAATAAATAATCAGATCTTAAAATCCAAGAAGCACTACCCAAACAAACTCAAACCCACAAATCAAACAAATGAGGAAAAGAATCGCAGCACGTTTTCATAATTATCGTATAAGGCCACAACGACATCACTAGTAAATTAGCAAACTCTAATTACAATTTTAATAACCTAGACTTTGGACAGACTGGATTTGTGGAATCTTAGTTTTTTTCCTTCCAATTAATTATCCATCTGCCTCTACAATTACATACTTTGACATGATTTGAAGCTAGGTTGGTTTGGGTTAGGGCCACTTCATGTAGGAACTTTAAGCTATTTATTATTACTGCTGTTGAGAACCTACATGGGTGTGGGATTATCAACTCTTTGTTCATCTATTCTCAGGAAAACACTGAAAATGAGGCTACTGCTTTATGTTGCTCAACTACCTGAAAGTATAAAGGAGAAGCATTTGTCTTAATGTCATTTATCAAAGTGTGTGCACCTTTGAATTTTTGACTACCAGAAACTTTTATAGTAAGCCACAAGAGACCAAAACCAGCCCAAACAACCAAACAGAACCACTTTGTGGAAAGACAAAGCCACTAAACCCTTCAAGATATTTCCATTTGTTCTCCTGCACAAGCACAATGGAAAACAAATATGGCTACATTAATTACCTCTTGGTGAAATTTGCTAAGTTGTGTACACATATGAAAAACATCAATACCCCAATCTCAGAAATAAATGTCTTCATGAGAATGATACTGTTGTTGAACGTGTTGTTTTCATTATAGTTCATTATTTCTATTTCTCTTACCTCTTGATCTTTCTCTGCTTTTCGTTCTAGCGCCTCAAATTCCTCTAAGTCATTTTTTTCCTTTAATTTCAATTTCAGTTCTTCATTTTCTCTTCTTAGCTGCTCATAGTCTAGTACTAGGTCATCATATTGAGCATGAACTGAGCTCAACTCACTTTCTAAGTTTTCCTATTATAAACAGAAATAAATTTTCCAATCAGAGAAAATTCAGATCCACTTAATTGCTTAGCTAACTAAAATGTAGATCAAATGAATGATCAATTCAACTCTGAATCAGTTGACATAGGCTGTTCTCTTCTTTAATCTGACATTTACATATATATCTGCCCATCCCAGACAGGGAAACACCATTTGAGAAAACACTGAAGCCCACTGACCATGTCACTGACTCGGTGATACCACTGATCATTTAACTGCTCCTCTGACTCATTCCTGAGAGGGCTTGGAAAGGAAAGAGAAGTGGGATGGACTGACCTCTATGCTGCTAACAGTTCCCATGTTTTACCATATCATGCCGGGAGAAGCAAATTTCTATTTTTTTTTTTTTTAAATTTATTTTAATTTATTTTGCAATACAATTCAGTTCTACGCAAATTTCTATTTTCTATGCTACTTTGGAAAAAAACTATGATGGAGGAAGAAAAAAAGCTTAACATAGGATTTTTAGTTATTTATTTTTGGGAGTCTTTAAAATTTAAATTAAAAGTCTCTGAGTGTTTTGCCAGCATGTTTATAAATTTTATGTTGTATACTGTCTGTGGAGGTCAGAGAGGGAGTTGGATCCCCTGGAACTGGAGTTACAGGCAGTTGTGAGCTGCCATGTGGGTGCTGGGAATTGAATCTGGGTCCTCTGGAAGAGCAGTCAGTGCTCTTAACCATCTAGCCAGACCTTTATTTATTTTTAAAAAACAAATTCTAGAACATGCGCAGAACACTCTGCCTTGATAGTCATCAATTAGTAGTGCCCAGAATTGCAGGGAGCACTGCAGATGTTTCCAAACTAAAAACAAAATTTCCTTATTATACATTTAGACAACTTTACTATATACCCGAGACTCTGGGCTTTTTTTTTTTTTTTGAGACAGGGTTTCTCTGTATAACAGTCCTGGCTGTCCTGGGACTCACTCTGTAGACCAGGCTGGCCTTCAGCTCACAGAGATCCACCTCCCTCTGCCTCCCAAGTGCTGAGATTAAAGGTGTGTGCCACCACCACGACTCTTATCATTTTTAAATCAGTTGTTTACCCTCAAGGGATTTCTCAAATCAAAATATAAAACTTAAAACTATCACAGATCCTCAGATTTGTTAGTAAGAGCTGTAAGCAGGTTTCTATTACATTAGCACACACCTGCTTCACAGAATGTTTAGTCTATCTCTAGATATCTCAGAGCTATTTAGCAGAGATATAAAATGATAACAGTCTTCCCTATAATCAGGCTTGTCTCTGATATTAAGTCAGGCAGGGTTAACAATGTAGTGTAACAGCAAATCCAGCAAGAGAGGGCTCAGCAGTAAGAATACTTGTAAGGCTCCCAGTGACTCCGGTTCTGTTCCCAACACCCACAGGGCAGCTTCAAATCACCTGTAGTTCTGACTTCAGGGGATCTGATGTCCTCTGCTGACTCTGCAGACACCAGACATGCAGTGGTGTACACACACCCACACACACCCACACGCACGCAGGCACGCGCGTGAAACATGCACACACATGAAATAAAAATCTTAAGAAAAACAAAACAAAAGGAAAAACAAATCGTAAAGACAGATGCTCTATTGAATACTTAGTTACCTCGCTTAGCAGCTTTGTTGCTGCATTCCACTCTACCTCAGGCAACGGATCGAGAGTGTTACTGAACACATCAGACTCAAACGAGAGTGCTGTAAGTAGAAAAAAAAAGACGCATGTTATAAATATATTTAGTATGTTTTGCTAAAAATAAAAATGAGATTAATAAAGAATTCTGACTAGATGTAAGCTCAAATTAACTTACACTCAGGTATGACTGCCAAGAGCATGTCAACAATAGATATGATCACTGATCATATTATTGTATGAATTAAGAAAGCTGGCTAGAATTTGTGATAAAATAAAGATCTTTGAAACAATACAGATAAAAACAACAAATTCTGTATCTGAGAATTGATCAGTGTCAGTGGATTAAAATGTCCCTAAAGATGATTATAATGCTGGAGACATAGTTTTGAAACACAATCCTATGGAAATGATATAAATGACACACCCTGAATAAACTAGAATAAAACTAGAATAAGTTTAGTGGGATGTTATGTGAAGACTGTACCATTTTAATTGAACATTAGAGCAAAAATAAATCATGCATCTGACTTATATGCTCCAACTAAACTATACTGTTCTGTTTGTGACAGGGTCTTACTATAACCCAGTCTAGCTCTGAATTCCTGGCAATCCTCCTGCCTTAGTATCTCAAGTGCTGGTATTCACAAGCCACTGTACTTGATTTACATTTCATCTAAATCTTAAGAGGTTTGGAATCAACAGAATTTCATGAATGTTTGCTATTTAATCATATCTGAACTATACATACTTTACTTAACCATATTTCTCATATTAGCCAAGTTAGTGTCTATGGAGACACATTTATAATCCAACAGAGCTCCACCTGGAGAAGTACTCACATTCATCATTCTCTCCTAACCTCATCAGAGAGTTTTCTCTCAAAAGAGTCACAGAAGTTTTGTGTGCTCTTGTTGTTACGTTTGTTGGGACTTGAAATTCATTGACGTAGTTTGAATTCTTCATTTTGTTAATTTTGCCATAGCACCAAGTAACTCTTCGCTTCTTTTTAACCTGAAAAAACAAGAACAAAAGAAATCAAAATTATTCCATACAGACCCAAACTCAGACAAAATAGAATAAGGAAGCTACTTCTTATTTTTTATTTATGTAAACACCATGGTAGAATTCCTAGGTCTGGTTTACTTTGGGACTTTAAGAAAACACACTGAGCTCTGTGGTAAGCACATGTTTAACCTGCACAAAGCCCTGGGTTAAATCCCAAGAACCAAGAGAGAAATGTAAGCACTTTTGTCAATTATAGGATCAAGTGCTGACTCTAGAATCAAGTACATCTCTTTTCTCCTTCCCAAACCCTCCCTCCTCTATTCATCCAACAGTCTACCCTGACTCACTGTAAAGCAGTTTTCGTCCTCACCATATAACTAAAGACTGCTCTTGCAAATAAGTCAAGGCTTCACTGTATCCATAGTCAAGGAACAAAACCCAAAACATCAAAGTCCTATTTAGTTTCTCTCTCAATTCCTCCCCAATTTGTCCAGTTTGCTCCCTTTCCAGGGTCACAATTCCCCCAGAGATGCAACTTACCTGATGCAGACAGTAGTAACACCCTTCTGAACCTCAATGTTGATGTCACATACAAAGCTCTGTTGTCCTTAGCACAATGCCACATTCACATTCCTCAATGTGCTTCAATATACCCTGGCCACTGTGCATTGTAAGTTCAAAGTATGTTTACCATGCATTTGCAAAACTCTTAAACTTTTGGTAATGTAGGTTACTTCTTGAAGCATCTTCCATTGAGCTATTCCTATTCATCGCTTACCTATACATCAACCAGTACTTCTTCAATGTCTGCACATCTGCTAGTGACTTACACAATGTGCCTACTGGTAATTATACTGAAGACTCACATTAGGATTTTCTGTGTGGAAAGGACTGTTACACATATTCATGAGACTGGACATCAAGCTATCCTTCAGGTAAAGTCAATAGTTAGTAACTGATGGAACTGAGATTAGAGTTCAGTTGGTCTGGCTTTGAAGGATACCCTAACCAAAATACTCCGTCATGTCTACTGGACAAACAGAAACCTATCCCAGGAAAAACAAAAAGGACACCTGCTGGAAGGCAAGATTTTGATCCCTACACTGATTTATAATGTCAATAGGTTTTCCTGAGTTAACATTACTATTAATTAAGTAGAAGATACTTTCATAAACCCTATGATCTTAGTTCCTAATCATCTCATAAATTTCATTAGACTTTACTAAGAATCATAGTTCAGACAGTCTTTACCAACACCCTAGACTTTTTGAATTAGTATCTCTTCACGTGAGAACTGGGGAGAGGTAATTATAACTCACTTCTTAGGTAGAGATGATAAATGGCAAACACACAGAATGTTCTAGATTTCCTAAAGATCCCGTATCAAAGGATAAAAAGTATTAATCTTAGCACACAGAAAGATCTATTCTGTTTTCTGCCATCTTGCAGACCTACCTTCAGCTCCTGCTGCAATGCAATAGAAGACGACGTCACCAGCATCCGCTTCAGGTTCTGGATTTTCTCATCCTGCACTTTCTGAAGCAAGTCTTTTTCATCCAGGAGCTGGGCCAGTTGATCCTTTTCCATTTCCTGTGCCCGAGTCTTTGTATTTACCTAAGAAATATTGGGTTATGTTAACTGTAAACGTAGCAAAACTGAGTCCTTGGAAGTAGCTTCAACAATAGAAAATTACATTTGCATGTAATCTATGAGAACTTTAATTTTTTTAAAATAAGATATTGTCTATACGCAGAAACCCAACATGTAGCTATCATAGCCAATAGTTACTTAAACATAAGAGATAAAATACATGCATTTCTTCTCATTAGGAAACTATATCTCATGTTAGGATAATGTTGTTAATTCTATTAATTGTCTATGAAGATATGAATAGGTAGGGAAGTCATAGAAGCTGAAATATGAAAACTGACTATAACACTAGAGATGTTCTTGACATTTTAGCTCATTAAAAAAAATCCACTAAAATGAAGGGTTTTTAACAAGATATGGGAGCATGATGACAAAAACGAATGAAGTAGAACAATAGGCTGACTGTTCTACACTTAGCGGGCTGGCTATAACCCTCAGGGTGGAGGGGCATTCAGGAGAGTGTGAAAACACAGAAGGTAGCTTTAGGTCACCATACAATCCACGTACAAAGATACATGGTGTCTTAACATAGCTCAGAAATTTCTACAATTTCAAGAAACTCCACTAATTTCAAGAAATGCCCCCTCCTTTTGTTTTTGTTTTTTGAGACAGATGTAGTCTAGGCTTGTCCAGAAATGGCTACACAGCAAAGGATGATCCTGAACTCCTGGATTTCCCCGCCTCCAACTCCAAGGTGCTAGTATTATAGGCATCCAGCACCAGGCTTGGTTTTCTGAAGTGCTTTGTACACAGCAGGCAATCATCCTATTGACTTAACGACATCTCCAATAGTCAGAAACAAGATATTTCAGCTCACAGTAAATTTCTTTTGTTGTTGCTGAAGACGGACCCAGGGCCTTGTACATTCCAGGCAGCACTCTACCACTGAGTTCCCTCACAATTACTAAAGCTAAATTTTTATGAATTCAATTATTTTAAGTTAAAATCTGTTTGTTTTAAAATTAAGTTGTAGCAATTCAGCTTTTATAAAGTTACAGAGTCTCTTAGGCAGATCTCCATCATTCTATATTGGCTGTTAGTCCGTCACCCGAATAAAATCATACATACCTCCTCTAGTTGTTTTTTAAGGTCCACTATTTCTTTTCTGTATCTTTTCAAGAGAGCTTCATCATTTGACACCTCATTAACATAGGGAGTATTCTTCATATATTTAGCAGTGCTAGCAAACTGGGACAAAACATCAAAGTATAAGATATTCAATATTTAAAATAATTCCAATAATAATTGTTTTTTGCAATCAATTTTTTTTGAAAAAAATAAATAAAATAAAATAAAAAACAACAAAAACCCACAGCACTTTTGGCTGAAAGTATTTGCCCTTCTTTTATTTTTTTCTACTCTTTTTGGGGGAGGGGGGAGAGTGATGTGCATGTGATGTGTTCATATACGTGTGTGCGTATGGAGGACAGGGGTTAGAGATCTTCATTGACTGCCCCACCTTCTTTACTGAGGCAAGGTTTCTCACTGAACCTGGAGCTCGCGGATTTGGCTAGTGCAGCCAGGTAGCTTGTCCTGGGATCCCTTGTCTTTGTTTCCTGAGTGCAGGGATTGCAGGAGAGGTGCTATGCCTGCCCAGCTTGGATGCTGGGATCTGAACTCTGGTCCTCACACTGGTGAAGAGAGGGCTTGGTCCAGTGAGCCATCTCTCCAGTTCCCAGGACTCCATCAGGGAATCATGTTGGAAGCCAAGTCTTATCTATTTTATAAACGGTGTGAGGCCGGCAGTACCTTGAGCCAGTACTCAACAGCTTTAATTCTTTTCTTTTCTATACAGGATCTTGTTACATGGCTCAGACTGGCTTGAGACTAGATAGGTAATCAAGCTAGCCTCAAACTCAGAGGAACCATCTAGTTTCTGCTTCCCAGAAGCTAGAATTAGAGGCATACATCATTATATTTGGCTTAATTTGTTTTCCATTTTAGAGAGTGTTTTATGTTTCCCAGGCTGGTCCATCTGCTTCAGCTTCCTAAACACTGGGATTTGAGGAATGTGCCACCATGCCCAACTTTGAAGTATTGAAGCATTTTTCCCCCAATGGGGAAAACTCAGGGTCTGCGTATGCTGTGCAAGCATTCTTCTCAGACCTACATCCATCCCCCTGCCCCCCAACAGCTAAGTGATGGTATGTGACTATCTTAAAGTGACCATTAACAACACTGGATCCCTCACCTAGAAAGCTGCTATATTAACTTGTTTTCCATTTTTCCTTTTCATTTCCTTTCTTTTTAAATAGAAAATGTGGGCCTGCCGCTTATATGCAGCCAATTGTTAGGAGAAATTCACTAAATGTTTGGTCACACACACATATATTTTTGGATTACTATTTGTGGCAAGTAGCACTAGTTTTTCATTTATGAACCTCACATAAAGCTTCTAGTTACCATGTATCAATAGAAAAAAAGTGAGTTAAAGAAAATATCAAATCATTTCAGTTAAAAGTATTGGGTGTGCCCAAAACTATAGAGGTGGGATACAAATATTAAAGCCTGGAAAAATTAAATTAAGGAATGCTAATTGCTAGACTGTACATCAATTTTATAACAGGCATTATGTCAATGGAAGTTAGTCATTCCCTACAGTGTAGTCAGATGAAAATGAAACTCACCTGGAGAGTGGTTAGGGTTTCATCCAAGGATACTGGAGTGATTGTGCAGATGATACGTGTTTTCGCATTTCCTCCCAAGGAATTCTGAAGAATTCGTGTTAATTTGCTATCTCGGTAATTTATGAAACCACTTAGCAGGAAACAAGTGTGGAAAGAAAAAGATTGAGAAGGTACTATATATAAATGTTTTCCTTTAAAAAATGAACAGTCATCATTTTATAAACTAAGTTTTTACAGTTTGTGTAAGGCAGATCAAGCTCCTAATTCAAACTACTTAAGGTAGAAAATAAACTCAGTAGGTTAGAGTCATATGGACAAGAAGCTATGCTCATAAATTATGCATGTGTATTAAATCCCACAATGAAGCACATTATTATATATACTTATTGTATGCTAATAAAAAAAAACAATTGAGAAAGGACTCTCCAGGTTGGTGAGATGGCTCAGTGGGTAGGGGCCCTTGTGCAATGTTCTGAAGACCTAAATCAGATTCTTGGGTTCCACAAGGCGACAGGAGAGAAGCGATTCCTAAGAGCTGTCCTCTCACTGTCAGTTGTGTTTGCAAAATCAAAAACAAAAAACAAAACTGTAAGAAAAAGGCTCTCTAAGCAAGCAGCTCAGGTTGGGATCTCGACACAGTGTAGCTGGCAGACGGCAGACCAATGCTGGAGGCGGGGATGGGAATCCTGTAGGCTCTAACCCAGGTAGTGTGCATGGCATCAGCTATGAAAGGGCCTTGAGAAGGGAGTTAGAGAGTAGCAGGCCAAACCACCTCGGGCTCCCACATGATTAGGAGCAGATAAAAACACTAAACTGTACAAAAGGACATCCCAGATTCTTAAGTGAGGAAACATCATCCACACTGTACCACATGTGCACTGAAATGTCACACTGTACTCTGTAAATATGTCTAATTATCACATCTCAAATAAACACACATGCTTAAAAAAAGCCAGCTCACAGAAACCCAAAATCTTTTAACAGTGCAGAAGAAATCGATACACTTGATTATGACTGAAGCATTACAGTTTTCCATATAATAAAAACCACAAGAAATAAGTATAAAATAAAACTTACCCAACTTGTCCATCACTAAGTTTCTTAATCACTTGTCCCAAAATAAACAAACTCCGATTTATATTACAGCCTTCCTTGAGTCGCACACCTGAGTTAAACAAATGTAAAAATGAACTTCTGTACGAAGTAAAGTGCTTGCTTGTAAGTTGTAAGTCAGACGTGAAAGGGTCAGATGCTAAAATCTATGCTGTGGTTCAACCTGAGCTCACTTTTAACACTAAGAGGTCTCTTTCTAATCTGCCTACATACAGATGAAGTCAAACAGAAACGTCACCACTGAGAGAAAACAACATCAAGAAAACAGGACTAAGGGGAAAAATGCCTGTTTCCCAAGGTCCTCTGACTTCTCAGTTCAATCTTTTCATAAACATTTAAATAAAGGTGATCATGGACTTCCAACCAAATGTCAGTAATTTTTACTTTTAAACTGTTAATATGCAATATGCTTACACGATTCAAAAAGTTAAAAGGAAAAATGCAAACCTTGGAAAAGCACATGCCCACTTTCCTCTATTCAGACAGTTCCTGTTCCTCACTAGAAAACCAATATTGCTCCTTTGCCTTTTCTTCCAGACTTAAAAACCACATCCATATAAAGTCGTCATCTTTTCCCTTTCTATCCAGACTATACACACTACTTTGTTTTGCTGACAGGGCCTCTCTGTGTAGCCCTGGCTGTTCTGTAACTCACTTTGTAGACCAGGCTGGCTTTGAACTCAGAGATTTCTTTGCCTCTGTCTCCTGAGTGCTGGGATTAAAGGTGTGCACCACCACCACCTGGCTTACATATTACTTTGTACTTTGCCTTTTCCCTTGAAAATGTATTTCAGAAAAAAATTCCCTATTGGTAAAGATTGGCCTTCTTCATTTTATATCATAAAATTCCATTGTGTGTTTATCCCACTTTAATTGCCCTTTTGAAAGACACGTTTCCAATCTTCTGCTCCTATAAAAAAGTGTGACAAATAATTTTGAACCAATGTTACTTCTGCTCCATTAGTTACTAGCCAATCTTGATGCCCAACAAATCAGCTTAAGCAGCAGCATGTCCCTCTTGCTCACATCACACACACATACACACTCCTGAGGGTGCACTGGTGTGGTGCAGCATGTCTCTCTTGCTCACACACCTGAGGGTGCACTGGTGTGGTGCAGCATGTCTCTCTTGCTCACACACCTGAGGGTGTACTGGTGTGGTGCAGCATGTCTCTCTTGCTCACACACTAAGGGTGCACTGGTGTGGTACAGCATGTCTGTTGTTCACACACTGAGGGTGCACTGGTGTGGTACAGCAGCATGTCTCTCTTGCTCACACACTAAGGGTGCACTGGTGTGGTACAGCAGCATGTCTCTCTTGCTCACACACCGAGGGTGCACTGGTGTGGTACAGCAGCATGTCTCTCTCACTCACACTCCTGAGGGTGTACTGGTGTGGTACAGCAGCATGTCTCTCTTGCTCACACACCGAGGGTGCACTGGTGTGGTACAGCATGTCTCTCTTGCTCACACTCCTGAAGGTGCACTGGTGTGGTGCAGCATGTCTCTCTTGCTCACACACTAAGGGTGCACTGGTGTGGTACAGCATGTGTCTCTTGCTCACACACCAAGGGTGCACTGGTGTGGTACAGCAGCATGTCTCTCTTGCTCACACACTTGAGCGTGCACTGGTGTGGCGTATACAGACCAGTTTGCTGGGTGGCTCCAGTTAGGCTGTGGGATGAGCTCTGCCTCTGCGTTCTCATTCCTGAGTCAGAGGCTCTTCTCATAGTTAGTGCGTTTGTTAGGAGCGCATTATAAATGCCCATTTATACCTTTCCATCCGACTCTCTTGGCTACCAGCCTTTTTCTTCAGGTTCTAGACTTCGTGTAGTAGACAGACAGTCTTTCCCACTGTGGACTGACTTTTAACACTCATTCCCTTCCTTTCTTGGACAGGATCTCCCTGTGGATCCCAGGCCAGCCTTGAACTTGTAGTCCTCCCAGCTCAGCCTCCTGGGTCCTGGGGATTCCAGGCGGGGAGGGACCTCTAGCCCCTGATTCCTGATTCCGTCCAAGTAGGCTGACAGTTCATTCAGTATTATGCAAGTTTTCTTTCTTTTTTTTCTCTGTGTAGCTTTGGAGCCTATCCTGGAACTCGCTCTGTAGACCAGGCTGGCCTCGAACTCACAGAGATCCGCCTGCCTCTGCCTCCTGAGTGCTGGGATTAAAGGTGTGCGCCACCACCGCCCAGCTTGTATTACACAAATTTAATTATGGTAGCTCAGGTTTTACTAGCCTGTGGGGCTGAATTTCCACTCACCGTCCTTCTCAGACAGTCTTGTCTGTTTTCAGTTTTCCATACACATGTTAAATCATTGTATCCAGTTTAAATGCAAAAATATACTTTTGACTTTACTAGGAATGTTTTAAATCTAGACTATACATATACATGACATCTTTATAATTTTGAATCTTCACATTTGAATGTGCTTTTTCATTAAGTCTTTACAACCTCTGAGTTTTAAGAACTTTAGTTTTATGCAACCTTTGAGTATCTTCCTAGAGAGCACATTTTATTGGTCTAGTCTTTTTTGTTCACTAAAATAGTCAACCTGGGGTTTTTTTTTTTTTTTTTTTTTTTGCTTATGAGAGTTATTTTTATTGATTTATTTGAATGCTACTACCTTTTATTTGACTTTTCTCATTTTTTTCCCCACTCTTACAAGGAGAATTGGAAAAATCAAATGGTCAATCTTGTCATGAAAATTTAGAACTATCCAGATAAATCTGGCCTCGATGTTGCAATCATCCCGTATGAGAGCTCTGCAGTTCAGATGTTAGGAAGTCGTCTTGGAATGACTTTGATTACTGTTCTTTCTCTTCTCAGCACTGGTCACGGTCATTGTGTTTTTAGTGGAGGGAAAGCTTTCTGAAATACGGTGTCAAGGTAAATGGCAAAGTACAGAACCAGTACATTAGTACTAGAAGGACGCTTCCCACCACCTTTGTTAATTTCTAACGAATTAAGATAGCTTAGATGGTTTTCATAGTACATTCCCGGGCTGCCCAGCTACACAGCCCTGTCAACTGCAAACCTGAATTTTTCAGCTGGTGCTGCAGTAAGTCAAAGGAATTCAGTTTGATTTTTTTTTTTAACCTTTCTAGAGCTTTATTGAGAGAGAGATGGAGAGGGGGAGAGGGGGGGGGGGGGAGAGAGAGAGAGAGAGAGAGAGAGAGAGAGAGAGAGAGAGAGAGGCGCCAAGAGAGAGAGAGAAAGACTGCGTGGAGGGGGGAGACTACAGAAGGAGAGAGTGCGGAAAGAGAGCCAGTTTGATTTTTATAGTAGCGACTTTCATCTGGAAGTCATTCCATTCTCAACACTTTAACATAAATGGTCAGACATTATCAAGTTCTCATTACCTTCAGCTCCTGTTTGAGCAGCTCGTTCACTGCCCGCAAGATCAACCAAATTCTGTAAGACGATAAAAATATGTTTAGGAGGTGTAACTAGAAAGAATAAACTCTAACTTGGTGAAGAAACAGTTTAAAGACACGATACATTGGCATATCCCCTTGAATCCTTGTCTCCTAGCTACTGCTCAGGCCTCTCCTTTTTTCACTGAGGCACACTGGCCTCCACGCCTTGTTCCTTCTCTCTCTCCTCTCTACATATACTCCATGCTGTTGAGGTATGTCCTACACAAAGTCCAGAACTTTACCAAGGAGAATATGATCTTTGCAACCCGGCCTCTGCTGCTCTTTCTCTTTATTTCTAACGTTTTAGTCCATCCTTCCTCTGCATTCAAGAACCAAGACTAACACTGTCTTCTCAGTGGGGCTTTGCCACCTTCACCCTTCTCGCACATCTGGAATGAATGCATCTGTAACTGCATTCAAGCTTTTAGAGGTAAGACTTATTCACACAGTACTAATTTTTGTGGGCTGGCCACGTAAGTACCATACTACACTGTAGCACTTTTGAAAGCACTGGCCTCTCTTCCATTCCGTAAGGAACACGGGAAAAAAGTGAGTGTCTATTACACTGTGGGCAGTGAGTGTATTCGGTGCTGGAGCAACAGCAGAGAGCCACACAAATAAGCTCTGCTCATACAGACCTTACAGTACACACGAGGTTTGTGAGAAGGGGGGGATGGGTAAACACAAGCGCAGAGTTAGCTAGCTGGAAAGGGGAAGGGGACAGGTGGCAGGGAAGGCCTGCTGTTGGGCCCACATGTGAATGACAGAGGAGAGGGAGGGGGTCAGCTACGAAGAGATGAACAGAAACAGTGCTGTATACATACAAGGCCAGCATACCAATTCACAAAGCAGCCCCCTTAGAGCGTGCGCTAATAACCCAGAAAGGCTCTAGCCGCTCGTACGTAATCCTAGAATCTGGGAAGTAACCGCACGAGGACTGCCCTGGGTTCCAGGCAGCCTAGACTACACAGAGTCCTAGGCCAGCCTGTCCTAGCAAGCCAAACCAAACATCCACCAAACCAGAGAAAGGACACTAAGGCACCACTGGTGAACTGAAGTGACAACGTACCGCTGCAGGCAGGGCCAGATTATGCAGTGTCCTGTAAACAAGACTGAAAACAGAGGACTTCTTAAATGCAAAGGGAGCTACCTGAAAGCTTATGCAAGAGATAATACAGTGTGATTCAACTTCCTAAAGGAACAACTGCGGCCCTGAAATGTGAAAAGCCACAGAACCCTCACGATTTCGACCGAAGGGTAAGCGAAAAGACAATACAGACAAGGCAGAGCTGAGGGAAGCCGGAGAATAACACCCCGCAAGGCCAGGAGACAACCAGCAATCAGCCACCCAAAGAGCCCGAAGATGACTCCAAAGGGAACACTTCTTTCCAGTTTTACAGGAGGTAGGCAGGCTGGCAGGCAGTATCCTAAGACCCACACGCGACAAATCAGCAAAGGAATGAACAAAAGAAACATGTTAAGAGTAGTCAAACTAAGAGAAATGTTCAAATTATACTGAAATATCATGTCAGACTTGGAAAACAAAACACAGGTTAGGTAGAGGTTCTTGTTATTAAGATATTGAAATCTATTAAAACAAATCACATGTTTTCAGCAAAATAAGAGAAGTTAGGACTAGATGTTAACATCTCTTTATCAAAGCTTGGTAGTGCCTGTCTAGGGTCAAGCAGAGAATTACGATTTTAAGTACCTCCTGGGCTACATGGTGATATCTGATAATAAAAAAGGAAATAAATGGGAGGATTACTTATGTGCTCACAGCAATGTTTGCATAATGCTCATATTCAATGAATGTGTAATAAGCACAGACCATGAAACATGTTGTACTAAAAGACATCCCTCTTCTGTTTAAGAGACTTATAGTCTAAAATACTGTTCACGGGCCAGTGGGGATGGTGAAGGTGTTCAGTGGTAGAGGTAGGAACCTCTACCTAACCTGTGTTTTGTTCTCCAAGTCTGACTGGTGATATTTCAGTATAATTTGAACATGCACAGGGCCCTAAGGCTGATCACTATAGTAAAACAAAACACAAAATTCCCACCGTTTATAGACATGTTTTCTCACTGTTACAAAAAAAAAAAATTGTTTTAACCATTCTACCTAGTTTTTTGGTGGTGTTGTTTTGTTTTTGTTTTATCATATACTTCTAAGATACACTGGCTAGGATTAAAAAGAATACAAACAAAAAAACGCATCCAAATTCCAAGATTCATCTCTCAGGCGAGAGACTTTGTTGGTGGTTAGAAAGACTCAGCTGCTGCAGTTCTGCAGGCACCACACACAGGAACAAAGATGCACTAACCATTACACTAACATCTCAGCTGCTACCCGAGGCTAACCCTTGCACTAACATCTCAGCTAGTACCCGAGGCTAACCCTTGCACTAACATCTCAGCTGGTACCCGAGGCTAACCCTTGCACTAACACTTCAGCTAGTACCTGAGGCTAACCCTTGCACTAACATCTCAGCTAGTACCGGAGGCTACTCCGACGATCACTTACGCTGCTAACTGCTGACCGTTTGTTCCTACTTAGTAAAGAGTTCTTATTCAAGCAATCACCCAATAACCTGTCTTCTTGGGCCCATATAGAAAGTTATGTTTAAAAATACTCACTAAATGCGACACCTTGATAGACCCGTCACAATTAGAAGATTCACCGTTTTCTCTGCTTTCCAAAATCTATACAGAAAAGGCAACTTGTCAAAATGAGTGAATTCTTCTTTGGAAGGTCCAAATGTAGGGAGAAACAGAATTACCTACCATCCTGAAAATCGTGTGAGAACGACTGCTTCTCTGGTTCATTTTGGTTATTCCATAATGCCGGTTCTCTGTAAAAATGAGTTATACGTCAACTGTGTATTAACTTAAGCCCAGGACAGACGCCAGGCTTCCGCTAGCTCACTGTGACAAGTCTAGTGGGAGCCTGTCTTAGTTTAGCTCAGTAACAACTACGATGGGGAGTTCTGATGTGCATTGAAAGTACAGCAGCCTTACTCTCGCCGGTTGTGATCCACTTCAAGGCCATTTCTGCGGTGTAAACCACTTCTTCTGTAAGATCGGCAACATAGACATTCCTCTGAAAACAGTTTAATTGGGAAAAGATTAGAAAAACAAAGTCTGCTTTCAAAGTTATAATCTACTCAGAATTTGAGAAAGTTAAAAAAAAGAACAACTATTCTGTAGAAAAAAAAGCAACTTATTCACAATTTACTCTTCCACCTTTTCTTATCCCCCTACATCCCTATCAACCCCCATCATTGGTACCAGTACTGTTCCCAACACGATTTTTAGTTTGGTGACTCTAGTTAACCAGGGACATCTATGTGGCTACTGAATCCAAACTGGATCCACTTGAGGTTCACAAGTGAGGGCAATGACTTCTCTCCCTGTAGCAAACAGGTCAGCAGTGCTCAGAGGGTCCCCGAATGCCACCTTCCTCCCTGACTGACCACTGATAGGCTCATTCTTGGGCTGACCAGTGACGTCATCTAGTTCTTTTACTCACGTTGATGTCTTCCCGAATTATCAAAGGTTTCATTTTTTGAGCATTACAGAGTAAGTCTGTAATGGTTTCATTGTAGATCTCCATGTAAGACACCCGTAGGAGAAATTCTCTCTCAGGAAACTTGGAGAAAAAGAAAATGTGTGAAGCATCAGAAAGCTCCCATTTATAAACTAGCATCATACATTCACACACTGCGTAAAGACCCCAAGAAAAGTTATCTGTGAAGCCAACAGAATCCACGGCTGTATGCTGATTAAAAAACACAGAAGCACTATTTCAGAAATAATGAATTGTCTAGGCTCAAAAGAAAGCCCTGACAGTAGCTGCTTTTACTTTCATGCAAATGCTCATTTCAAACCAACCTAAACCAATGATCAGCTGGCATACTCTGCCCGCTGCCTTCCTTCTCTTCTACCCACGGCTACTTTTTATTGCAACTTAAGATCATTAGTAACCAAACAAAGCTAACATGGAACTAATTGCTCTGACAGGATCTCCTACTGCTTCATTTAGTCTACTTGTGGTTGGGAATAATACTGTTCCGGGACTCAACGGGAAAATTAATCCAAGACCTTCAAGTTCTATGAAGTGTGTGAATTGATGCTATGCTTTTTTCTTTTCCCAGGAAAGTCAGGAATGAGTGTGAAACTCTTTTTCTCTTTCACTGTTTCAAGAGGAAAACACCCACTGCCACTCAGTTACCACTACTTTTTCTATGTGTGCTAGGAAGTGTGAAGTCGTTACCTTCTTAATCCTCTGGAAAATGTCATGAATGGCTCTGGGTATAACTCCCAAACAGTCTTCGGAACCCATCATAGTATGTGTTTTTCCCGATGCAGTTTGCCCGTAAGCAAATATAGTACCTGTAAAAACAAGCAAAATAAATAGATAAATAAATCAATGCAAAGACTCAAACTTATAGTGAATAAAACTATCAATACTTAAAGGAACAGACACTGAAGATGTTTCTGCAACACGAAGTGAATACAAACCATTGTAGCCTTGTATAGCAGAATTGATGATTGGTACTGCGATTTCTTCATACACGTTTTTAGTGGTTTCATTACTGTGAAAGACACGATCTAAAAAGAACAACACAGAAATTCAACCAAACATATCAACTGCATTTTCAAAGAATCAGTAAATCCCCAAAGAAGTAAACTGTCAGGATCTAAAATGGTGACACACCTAGGATGTCATTTCATTTTTATTCTTTTCAGAAAACACCCTTCTCAAAGGGAAAATGCTCTGATCTCAGAAAAAACATATACGTCAACAACTCTATGGACTTTCAAAGGCAGCAGGGCACAGTGGCTCAGATGGGTCTAGAGTCTGTTAGGTAGTCCTGATTAGATCCTCTCAATGTTGGGTCCTGGCCTCTAATTTACAAGACAGGCACACTACCATCTTTACAGAATTACTGCAAACATATTAGTACTCAGGAAATGTGAGCAGTTATTAATTTTTGAGAAATTTTGTTTTATAACGTATCTTGTTAAAAGCCTCACTCAAGAAAACACTGAATAAAAATGTTACATGAAACAATCGTCTGTCTTCTAAATTTAGGCATTTGTACTGATAAATTTGCCATTCTAGGATCTGAATCTTGGCTTCTGTTAGAGAACTAAAAAAAAAAAAAAAAAAAGTGACACTTTCCATGGTGAAAAAGTTCACAGGGAACAGATTTCTAAAACAGGGAAATGTGTTGGCAACAAGAAGCTCAGCAATCATTGTGCTTCTAACAGCTGTCCCTTAGGCAGAAGAAACGGGAAAATCAAGCACCACAGAGAGGCTGTTGAAGTCAGGATTTCAGGCGAAGGGGAGTTGGTAGATGTTTGTATTTTAATACCATCAACCTCAAGCAGTTGATGAGTTCCAATCTTCTATATGTGTATAGGGCCACTATAACATGAGTCTTACATTGTCTTATAACAAAAAACCCAGAGCCAGATATCAGGGTGAAAGCTGAAGATCAGAGAAGCAGAACAGCCAGCCACTAGCTTACCTCTACGGAATCCTCAGCCTCAAGAGAGAGAGAGTTCCTGTTTCCTCACACCTTATATACCTTTCTGTGTCCTGCCATATTACTTCCTGGGATAAGGTGTGTGTCACCACTGCCTGGTTCTATATTTCTCTCATGTAGCCCAGTGTGGCCTTGAATTAAAAGTGTGTGCCACCACTCCTGACCTCTATGTCTAATTTAGTGGCTGGCTCTGTCCTCTGATCCCCAGGCAAGCTTTATGGGGGTACACAATATATCACCACAGGCCACCAAAGCCTAAAATACTGAAGCCTGAACTCTTGGGGACCTGTAATCTTGGTTTTATAATCTTTTAAATATACAGTTTTATCTTTAAAAACTCTATTATAAAATTGTTCTTTACCAGGGATCATTTTATTTCCTGTACTTCTCTGATCAAAATGTTTTCACTTTAATTTTAACAATGGGATGACAGTGTAGGGTCTGGGAAAATGGCTCTGTTTACTGCACTTACTTTGTAGTTCAGGTTGGCCTCGAACTCCTTATCCTCCCCGCCTTCAGAGTGCAGGGAACAGAGGCTACCGCACCCAGCATACGATAACTTTTGATAAACTTACCAAAATTGAAGGATTTCCCCCCATCACTCTGATAAATAGCATTGTTGTCGGTCTTCCAGTACACATGGGCGGCTTCTCCAAGTTCTTCTTCTCTAGAAGAACAGAAAACCACACTTCAGAACAGTGTGAGTGATCACAGAGGTCACAGCACAGGAGGGATCATTTAAAACATTTCTCATTCTGAAGAATACTCTAGAAGTCGGCAAGAACAAAAAAGTCTACCTTGGGAGGGTCAGGACTCAGCTCTCTTCAATGAAGCTTAGTGGTCTGCTTCCCATCAATTCCCTAGTGAAGCCCCTCACTCCAATACCAGCATGGTAGGAGAGCAAAACATAGTGCTACTCTGATTATGTTTCTTTCTTTTTTCTTTTTGTTTTTTTTGAGACAGGGTTTCTCTGTGTAGTTTTGGAGCCTGTTCTAGAACTCGCTCTGTAGACCAGGCTGGCCTCAAAAACCAGAGATCCGCCTGCCTCTGCCTCCAGAGTGCTGGGATCAAAGGTGTGCGCTACCACTGCCCGGCCTGCTTATGACATTGTATATCAGGTGTGGGTGTAGGTTCACGAGGGTCCATGGAATCAAGACACAAAGGCACCCCAAGGATGATCTAGCCTTTTCCAGCTGTAGCAAAGGGCCCTTTTGTTGTTCTCCAAATTACACCTTTCAGCAAGTTAATCTCTGTCCCCAACACCTCTCACCTAAGCTTTAAAAAAGGGGCAATGCCAAATGCAAATTCTCAGTTAAGGAATACCATGGTTTTCCTTTCCAGATTGTTCCTCAACCAAGTCTGCATAGGCTTTGCACCTTTAGAGACTCTCAGACAAATTCATACAGAGGGCAACAAGAGAAACAAAAGGTGGTTTAAGGCTAGATGGAGCGGACTAGGGGCACTCTGGAGCCAGACCAGGGGTAGCTCTGTGCGAATTCTCTACCTTCTTTTCTAGGGGTGTCTGACCTTTCACATGTGACAATGATGCTGTCATCTACAAAGTTCACCCCTGAGAACCTTACAACAGAATGTTACAAAAGAAAAACAAAACAAGACAAACAACAGCAACAACTACAAAAACTCTTGCAAAATGAAGTTTTATAGTTTCAAGTACAATTATGATTTTATGTTGAGCTATAGTCATGGTTATCTTTGGCTGCATCGGGGGGGGGGGGGGGGGGGGGGGGGCGGGGGTTTCTACTGCCTGTCTGAAATCCTTAAAAACGAAAAAAAACCAAAAACCCTTGGGGTGGTGGTGGCTACACCTTTAATCCCAGCACTTGGGAGGCAGAGGCAGGCGGATCTCTGATTTCAAGGCCAGCCTGGGCTACAGAGTGAGTTCCAGGACAGTCATTGATGTTGCACAGAAACCCTGTCTCAAGAAAACAAACAAAAAACCTTTGGAAACGTCTAGAAAACTTAACATGCCATAAATCACCTGGATCATGTCACTAATCTCTCTCTCTCTGGAGACAGTGTCTCACTATGTAGCCCTTGTTGGCCTGGAACTCACTAGGTATAGGTAGTCCAGGCTGGTCTACAACTCGGATACCCTGCCTCTGCCTCCAGAGCGCTGGGATTAAAGCCACAAGCTACCACAGGCACCACTCTGTCTTCAATGCCATTTTCCTCTAAACTCCTATACACACCACGCACCACATCAATGAACCGTCGAATCTCCGTGACCCATCCATCAAGTAACCGCCTATCCTTTCATTCATGGAAAGTGTCTGGGTTTTCCTGACACCAGGTGCCCCAACCAATCTGTCACCTCTGAAGGGCCAATGTCTGTGTCTTCCAACATTCTCCACGTTCACTTTTCACAGTGTATTATAATGGCTTATGTCTGTACAAATGCTGCTCTAGTTTGCTTGCTGTTGCTGTGATAAAATTTTTTTTTTTTTTTCGAGACAGGGTTTCTCTGTGTAGCTTTGCGACTTTCCTGGATCTCGCTCTGAAGACCAGGCTGGCCTTGAACTCACAAAGATCCACCTGGCTCTGCCTCTGGAGTGCTGGGATTAAAGGCGTGTGCCACCACTGCCCGGTGATAAAATAGTCTTATCAAAAGCAGCTTGGAGAGGAAAAGGTTTATTCCAGCTTACACTTTCAGCACTGAAGGAAGTTGGGGCAGGGTCTCAAGCAGGAGCAGAGGCAGAATGGAAGAACACTGTTTACTGTCTTGCTGTCTCTGGCTACTGCTCAGCTAGCTTTCTTATACAGCCTTGGAGTTCATGAATAAGGATGGTACCACCCACATTGGCCTAGGCCCTCCTGTATCAACTAGTTATCAAGAAAACACGCCACAAGGGCATGCCCACAGGCCAGTCTCATCGAGGTAACCCTCCAGTTGAAACTCCCTCAAATAAAGTTGGGCTGTTAAGTTGACAGCTAGAGCTAGCTAGGATACAACGTTGCCTAAACTAGGGAAGGAACTTCTGAAGTACAAGAAACTCCCAATTTTGAGAATCTCAACCCGTTCAATACCAATTTCGCGAACACCAAAAGCTTTAGCATCTCTAGCTGAACGCCAGAAGCTAGCAAACCCAGGAGACTGCATCTCCCACTTCCTGCCTTTTCTTTCGAGCATTTCCGACCCTTCTTCACTACTGCACATTTTCTGCCCTCGTCCATCAGACGACGATCGCAGTGTCGTCGGCTGCAGAGTCGCAGTCTGAACTTGTCTTCAGCTGCAAACAGGGAGTCCTGCCCCGGGGCGTCAGTGTGACCCGGGGCAGCGCGGGCCGGGGTGCAGGTCCCCCAGCCCGGAGGGCAGCGCGGCCGGCCGCCGCAGGCAGCCGCCCCAGGCCGCCCGGCCCGCCGCCTACCTGCTGTTGAGCGGCCGCACCCGCACGCACACCGCCACCGCCGCCTCCTCCGCCATCCCGCCCGCTGCAGCCCAGGAAAACGCAGAAGCCCAATGGCGCCCACCAAGCTCCAGGACCCGCCCCGCCTTCAAGTTTAAAATGTCCTCGACGTCGCAGCTGATTGGGCCGCGCCGCGTCGTGACGTCACGGGACAGTCCACGTGCCGGGCGGGGCGGGGGGAGGGCAAGGGGGCGGGGCGGGAGGCGGGGCGGGAGGCGTGTCCATAGATCCAGAGTAGGCGGGGGAGGATCAGGGATCACGGAATTGAGATCGACGTTGCTGGAGAGTGGTCCTGTAATAGACTGTCAGTCAGAAGCCACCGAACACCAGCTCCTCCCTAGCCCACCCTCAGAGAGCTGGCAGTTTGCAGGACAAAAGAATTCTAATCTTTAAAAAATAAACCAAACCGAACCAACTTTTGTTTTGTTTTGAAGCCTCCAATGGGAAGAGTTGGAAGTCACGGTCTTGTCAGGAAAGGAAGATTTTTTTTTTTTTTTTTGTATTCGTTCGGAACCGCACTGAGGCGTTTTCCGTTTTCTTTCTTTAACTTTCATTTCCCTTGACTGTGACTTAGGGAAGAAAATCGCTGAAAACGGGAAACATTTTGTGGGAAGCGGACAAAGATTCGCACTAGAACCATAGACTATTGAACAAAACCCACAAGACTAGGCATGAGAAACCAAAATAATAACGCTAGACCTCAGGGAAGGGGTTTCCAGGTCAGAACCAGCTCGGGTTTTCCAAGTCCTGACAAGGTATGTGTTGTGTTCAGCAACAAGGACTTCAGCCTCAGGGAGGCAACCATGGACAACCTGGGGAAATCAGTTCTCTCCTTCTGCCCTGTTGGATCCCAGGGATCCAATCCAGGTGGTCAGGGCTGGCAGCAAGTGGCCTTACTCACTGGGCCATCTTCCCTGCCCTGTTTTAATTTTTTAAAAGAGCGGACAAATAGGACAAATAGGACATGTACTTGCAGGCTCAGAAGTGAGGAAGGGATTTTGAGGGCAGAATTATTGAACCGTCACAGCCGTGCTTACGATTGTTGTCATACTGTTTTAGCTATCGTTATATAGCAGGCAGCATTTCTTGAAGATTGACTATATTCCATTATATGATCTGTGCCCTTGGGTTATCTCTTTTATCAGAGCTGTCCATCAAGAGATGTTGTTAATATTCTGATCCTGCCCTTTGGTGCCACTCTATGTTCTGGCATAAAAGCCTATTCTTAAAGGAAAACTCCACCCATTTTCTCTCTTTCTTCTTCTGCTTTCCTCCCATGAGGTATGAGGTGCAAACCTCTCAAACCCTCTCTCTCCCTCTCTCTCTTTTCCTTCCCCCTTCCTCTTTCTGTCTTTCTGCCTCTTCACCTCTATTATAATAAAACATTTATTTCCACACAGATGCATTGTCTGAGGTCTGTATCTCCCACTTGCCACCCTGCTGCCATGCCCACATAGACTTGGCCGCCCACCAGTTCACCACTGCATCTGAGGGTCCCCTAGATAATCTGGCTGTTCTCAAAGATCAGAACTATAGCTACAGGGCCTGAAAAATTCAGATACCACTGTCAACAGCTTAAAGAATGTCTCTCCTCACTCAAGGTCTATTCAGGCTTAAGAAAGTTAGCCCCCCTGCCCCTGCTAACTTTATTAAGCTGTGACTAACTGGGAAACCTGTTTATTCAGATTTATGCTCTCAAAATTATAAATACATCTAGCAGATTTTGTTCCCCCAGTCCTCAAACATCTGTAGAGATCTGAGAATATGGCATTTAATATAAAAGCTTTTTGTGGCAAAGAGACATGTTAGCTCCTGGCAGCAGCATCTTGTAACTTCTCCAAGAAGATGGATGGCTGCAGAACCTTTACCTGGAAACTTATGGCAAGGCCCTCCACGCAGTGGCATGTTGAGATCCTGTCCAGACTGAATAGGTGTAACAATGGAAGACCGATTGCCTCATACTGCAAAGTCAAGGTGGGACAGTCTCCCCAAATTTCTACTCCACAGAAAAAAAATCTGTCAGATCTTCTGGGCCTATTATCTGAACAAGTGCTGTCTTTTGGGCTTCTGTACAAGACGCCAGTGACCACAGAGAGACTTGGGATTGCTGCCCAGGTAGCTGTCTCACTTTTTAAATTTATCCTTCTCAGGTCTGACAATGTTTGATGACTAGAGTGTATCAGTTAGACAGCCCCAATCCCAAGATTACTGACAGTCCATTAACAGGTTTCCATAGAAAGCTATGCCTTGCTGCGGGATGTTCTATATGCTGTGAATGTGTTGCTCTGATTGGATGATAAACAAAAAAGCTGATTGGCCAGTAGCCAGGCAGGAAGTATAGGCAGGGTAAACAGACAAGGAGAATTCTGGGAACAGGAAGGTTGAGTAAGTAGACGCCAGCCCGCCATTGAGGGAGCAGCATGTAACAGCACACAGGTAAAGTCACGGAACACGTGACAACATATAGATCGACAGAAATGGGCTGAGTTTAAATGTAAGAGCTAGTCAGTGGTAGGTCTGAGCTAATGGCTGAGCAGTTTTAATTAGTATAAGCTTCTGAGTGATTATTTTTATAAGTGGCTGTGGAGTCTGTAGGGCTGGGCAAGACCAGAAAAAACTTCAGCTATAATGCCTCATTCACAGACTTCATGGTACAGGATAGACCAGTTTCAGATATAACTCCAGAGGTTCAAAGTTTTAATACTTATAAATGCAGCTTTGATAAACTGATAGAACATTGACTACAAACAGTTCTTAAGACTCTTAAATTTCTATAGATTTTCAACCCTTTTTGCTATGATGTAAATCTATTCCAGCTGTCTTACAGATAGCTACAGGTCCCTGGGAAAAGTTCTACTGCATCAAAAAATCTCGTCTGATAAAAATTAACAGTCTCCAGAGCCCATTTTAATCTCATCCATTTTCAAGAATATTTTGCAGTTTTCCTTCCATGCATGGGTCAAGGGGCTCTCCAGCTAGGCCAACCCCCAACCAAGGACACCAACTGAGATGGATGCACCCCCACCTCCAGAGAAACGGCAGATGTGATGGCTCCTATAATCCTGAAGAACACACTCCTCAGTTCACTGCTGTAACCTGCCCCCTCAGCTCACTCAAGGAACAGACACGAGATCTCCACAATGACAGCTAACTGGATGCTTCTTCACTCACACCCCTTGCCGTGCGTGACTCCTGGGTTCCCCCTTCCCACTTTGCCCTCATCAGCTTGAAGTAGCCTCGAGAATTCAGGACCCTTGTTCCCCTACTGGGTCCCATAACTCACCTCCTTTTTATATAATTGAAATTGGAAAAATGTTAATATTCTGATCCCACCATTTGGTGCCACCTTATGCCCTGACATAGAAGCCTATTCTTGTTTTTTGTTTTTTTGTTTTTGGTTTTTCAAGACAGGGTTTCTCTGTGTAGTTTTGCGCCTTTTCCTGGAACTCACTTGGTAGCCCAGGCTGGCCTCGAACTCACAGAGATCCACCTGGCTCTGCCTCCCGGGTGCTGGGATTAAAGGTGTGCGCCACCACCGCCCGGCATAGAAGCCTATTCTTAAGGGAAAACTCCACCCAATTCTCTCTCTTCTCTCTCTCTTCCATTTTCCTCCCACTAGGTGCGAACCTCTCGAACCCCTCACCTCCCTCTATCCCTCTCTTTTTCCCTCTCTTTCTCCCCCCCCCCCCCCCCCCCCCCGGTCTGTCTCCCTCTTTCTGTCTTTCTGCCTCTTCATCTCTCTATTATAAGAAACCATTTCAATGCAGATGCAGCGTCTGGGTTATGTATCTCTACCTGCCACCCCACTGCCATGCCCACATGGACTGGGCCTCCTGCCAGCCCGCTGCTGCATCTGGGGGGTCCTGCCACATATAATTCCTAACATTATTCATTAGAGGGAAAAAGAGGGGGCCTGAGAAGGTAAGAGGAGTCGAATTTGATAAAAGGATATAATATGCAGGTATAAAAATGTCATAACAAAACAAATTGTCTTGTACAATTAATTTACACTAATGAAAAAGATATTGCCTGATGGTATAGGCCTGTAACCCCAGGTACTCAGCAATCTGAGGCAGCAGGATGGCTATGGGTTCCCAAACAGCTTGACCACACAGCTGCCATGACAGGCTTGGAGGCCCAGACACAGCTTCTGTGACAGGCTTACTGGCAGGAAACAGACCCAGGAAAAGTAATAAGCTGACCCCACCCAAGAAGGGCCTACATCTAAGGGGAAGTACCTGACATCCCAAACATTCCAACTATTAGATAAGGTTAGATAAGATGGCCAGATGTCCCTGAGTTTAGCACACACCTATTTCTGTTTTGTAGATACACCTAGACAAATGTCAGTCAATCAGGGTCCTGAATCCTGGAAATACCCTCACCCCAACCTCTGCTATGATAAAAATCCCACCCTGCCTGAGTTTAGGGCTCTCTGCTCTCACCACTGTGTCAGACAGACAGAGAGACCAAGCTTGGAGCTTGAAAATAAAGGCTCTTCACTTTTACATACAGGATTCGTTCTCTGTGGTGGTCTTTTGGAGGTCCCTGCGATCTGGGCATAATAATGGCCACATTCAAAACCTGTCTGGGTTGTGGACTGAGTTCAAGGCCTCAAGGGCAGTTTAGTCAGTCTCAAAATAAAAAATAAAAAGGGGGCTGGGGCTGAGGATTCTGCCTCATTATGTTTAATCACTAGCAGTGCAAAAAAAAAAAAAAGATATCCATTGAGAAACTACTTTATGTTGGATATTTTTCTAGGCTTAGAACACACAAGAATGACTAGACTAGACCTAGTGCATGTGGTCTTAGGGCTATTATTCTCTTAGGAGAGGTAGTAATGAGCACAAATATCTGCTGTGGGATATTCTGTATGCTTTGAATGTGTTGCTCTGATTGGTTGATAAATAAAACACTGATTGGCCAGTAGCCAGGCAGGAAGTATAGGTGGGATAAACAGACAAGGAGAATTGTGAGAAGTGGAAGGCTGAGTTAGGAGACGCTGCTAGCTGCCGCCAAAAGAAGCAACACGTAAACATACCGGTAAGCCACGAACCACGTATCAAG